AAAAAACAATTAATATATTTTATTTAACTGCTTCAATGAAATGATTATCAGATAAAATAAAAGTAATTATTATTAATTAACACATAGCGAGCTTAAAAGACAAAATATAGCTTCTTATTAAATATGTTAAGTACAATCAATAAAATAAGAAATTGTTTGGATTTATGCTATTATACAGATGGATTAAGAGCATCAGAAAAATTGAAGTATATTATTATTTTATTTGACTAATTACATAAGTGACAAAAATATGAATACTATATAATTCACAACTTGTTTTATAATTTTTATGATAAAGACATACAATATTAAGTAAGGCATAAATTAAAAAAGGATAAACCTTCATTAAATTACCAATATTTATGTTTTTAATAAGACTTTTTAGAGAACTATTAATTTATGAGACATAATTACCTTTTGGGAATTTCATTTCAATCTAAGTATAATAAGGGAAAGACTTTGTTAACAACACCTAATCTCTCTCTTTTAACTTAAGAGACCGAAGAAGAATCAATGAAGTACTCTATTTATGATATCACCAAAAGATAACAAATAAATATTATTTTACTAATTTGATTTTATTAATTTAGCATTCTATTAAAAAAGTTAGCTTTGATTTCATATTTATGTTATCCAGATTTTCGTGAAATCATTAAATTCAAAAATATCAATAATTATTTGATAATTAAAAAACTGACTGAATAAAATTATAAATTAAAAACCTGCAGCTTTGACTTGTAAATAAATTTTGATTTTTTTCATCCATTTTTTTACTGGATAAAAAGATAATATTTAAGGAAACAGAAGAAGAGTCGTTTTTAGACTTTTAGATAGATCAATTTGAAACAAAATATTCTTTTAAAAGTTTATGCAATAGTTCTGTTTCAAAAATTTTAAATTTCTTGTTTCACAAATAATTAGATGTCTTTTTGGTTAATTGTTTTAATAATACTATAATCTTTAATTATAAAAATTGAATTTATTATCTTAATCAGTCATTTAAATATATAGATCATATTTATTCTACCTTCTTAATATTCATTAAAATAGAGGACAAAATCATCTAATAATAGAGCATAAAAAAATCCTTTAGATAGACTAAATAAAGCAAATTCCTTTATTTAAAAGAAATTTTATGGAATTTCTTACTCTTAAAATAAATCTTAATCTTCATAGATTTACTAAATGTTAAAAATGAATTTATGCCATTTTATATAACTATAATTGAAAAATTTGATCTTGAATTTAATTATATGAAAATATGCAATCTTTGGGCATTTCTTTTTAAAATTATTATGTTAATAGACTTTATTTGTACAAGAAATAATATTCTTCTTTCATGATGAGAATTTAAAAAAAAAAAATTTAAATATGGATATGCTCAGGATAATGAATTCAGAATTTACCAAAACTATTTAAAACTTTGATGTATTTCAGGTAAATAACTGAATACGAGATTCAAGATCAGAAAATTTTATTATTCAAATTGATATCAATTAAATTAAATCCAATTTTAAGCCTTTTTTACTTTGAATAAATTCCCTTTTAATGTTTTATTTTTAACTTAATTTCATCTTCTCTCCTAATAATACAAGATTCTTATTAAATGCGATTAATAATATTCCTTGTAACTTAAATATATATACATATCATTTGTTAATTTTTCATTTTAACTATTACCAATTCACAGAAAGAATGAAAATTAATAGATTTTAGAATAAAACGATTTATGATATTCAAGACTGATCTAAAAATAAATAAAATTTAACAATTTTTGAGTTATCTTCTGAGCATTTTATGAATTTTTTTTTTAGATGAATAATTTCTAAAATTGAAAAATATCTATTTAAGTTCACCTTTACTACTATAAATAATTAAGATACTAAATAAATAATAAAAATATTTATATATATTGATAATATATTCATTTGAATAGTTAATTTAATATTTCTATTTTACATCTGTTATGTAAATGTACACATGGATATAAATCTTTGGATGTATCAATAGTCAAAGTCTAATAATAATAATTTAATATTGATACAAATGATTCATTTGTTAATTACTTTGTCCATTTAATATACTTCTTTTGAATATCTACTTCAACAATTATAATATCATTTGTTGAAAATTCAAATGCTATTTTTTTATTATCTTTATCTTATTAATCATGATTATAACAATAACCATTATTGTATATATTATATGTTCTATTTATCAACTATTAATATAATAAACATACCCTCCTCCAATAGAATGACAATCATAGTAACCCTTACTCTACACAATATCCCTAAAACCAATTCCTATCATAATACAACTGATTTCAATTATTTTAATAGCAAATTAGATCACACCATTCTTAGGAATCATTTAATCACACATACAGCAATTCCAACCACCAGAGCTATTCTCAATAACTTTTCCATTTTAAGTTACTGAACAAGAACTATGTTTATAAGTTGTTGAGAATGTAAGTAATTAAGAGAATTACCACTCCTGCTTCTAATATATCTTTTAATTATACTAAAGTTTGTTATAATTACTTCATCATTTGCTCATTCTTCTGATTAGACTGTTAGCAAATTTGCAATTCTGCTTGTTTCTCGTTAAGTATAAGTTCACATTAAGTTTCTTTAATAAATTAAATAGGATTTATTATTTACTTTATTATCCAAGTTCTTTTATTTAAACTAATAAACCTTGATTTTGATTCCTTAAATCAGATATTTATTTTATTTATTCAGCATCATGTTTCTTAAAGTCATTTATCACTTATTGATTCTCTAAATTTAACTTTTCACTTTCTATAAGTTGATTTTATAATTATTCTTTCTCTTACTTAAGTAATTTAAGTTCAGTTGCAACTTGATCAAATTAAGTGAATTTTTACATAAGAGATAAATCCTTTTCAATCTTTGAAACATAATGATTAAACTTAGTAATATAAATATAGTTGTACTTGTTACTATTATACATCTTTGAATTCATTGGATAAACTACTTATTGTTTGCATAATTAACTCATACTAATTTAAGGCTTCATTCAAGATATTCGAATATAATTTAGAGTGTTGTAATTGTTAATTAAGTTATTTAATCGATTATAGATTTTAAATGGAATTATTATNTAAGTAATTAAGAGAATTACCACTCCTGCTTCTAATATATCTTTTAATTATACTAAAGTTTGTTATAATTACTTCATCATTTGCTCATTCTTCTGATTAGACTGTTAGCAAATTTGCAATTCTGCTTGTTTCTCGTTAAGTATAAGTTCACATTAAGTTTCTTTAATAAATTAAATAGGATTTATTATTTACTTTATTATCCAAGTTCTTTTATTTAAACTAATAAACCTTGATTTTGATTCCTTAAATCAGATATTTATTTTATTTATTCAGCATCATGTTTCTTAAAGTCATTTATCACTTATTGATTCTCTAAATTTAACTTTTCACTTTCTATAAGTTGATTTTATAATTATTCTTTCTCTTACTTAAGTAATTTAAGTTCAGTTGCAACTTGATCAAATTAAGTGAATTTTTACATAAGAGATAAATCCTTTTCAATCTTTGAAACATAATGATTAAACTTAGTAATATAAATATAGTTGTACTTGTTACTATTATACATCTTTGAATTCATTGGATAAACTACTTATTGTTTGCATAATTAACTCATACTAATTTAAGGCTTCATTCAAGATATTCGAATATAATTTAAAGTGTTGTAATTGTTAATTAAGTTATTTAATCTATTATAGATTTTAAATGGAATTATTATCATCTTATACAATATCATCTGTCTAATCTTTTACATTAGATATATTAAGACTTGAATCTTTAAAAATCTTATTTATTTTTTGAGTTGCTAATAAATCATTTTAAAGCAATTATCCAAAATTAGTTGATATTAATACAAGTTAATTAAGATCCTCTTTCTAAATATTAAATTGTTTTTCAGCCAAAGCTTTAAATTTATCATTCTAACTTAATATTTCAGTTAGTTCATTAATTTACTCTGTATTCATTAAAAAAATCATATTATCATTAAACTCATTAGTTTCATTTTATGAGAACATTGAATATTAAGTGTTTATCTTATTGATTATTTCTGAAATCGTAGAATTGTACTTTTCCTTAATGTCTTGGAGGATTTCAATGATTTATGATGATTGTAAATATCTTGAATTTTAAAATCGTTTAACCTAATCGCTTGTTTATCCTAGATATTCATTCCATTTAAAATTAGCATCTTCTAAGGTTGTGTATTTAATTGGATCATTTGATTATATACATTCAACACAAGCTAATCTAGAAAACTATGTTTTTTCAGGATTCAAATTAAACATGATAATTTCTTTTCCATGTTTATTGCATTAAATCTTTAAACTTGGTGTTTTCTATTTAAATATTTAGATAATAATTACTTATGGATCTTCTTCCTATTTATTAAGTAATTATATTTACTTAACTTCTGAATTTCCATTTTCCGCTTTAGTCTTTTCTAAAGATTCTTTGATTTAAATTAATTTAGGACAATTAATTATAGATTATAGCTATTACTATATTTAATCTATATAAGAATTATCATTTATAGACTTCTCAAATTCTTTAGGAACTTCAAAACTGAATGATCCTTTGTAATTTTTTGATAAAATTCGAATATCTTCTTCAAATGTAGAAACAAATGTTTTTGATTCTGATTCATCTAGTTCATTTTCCATTAGAGTTATTTTTTAATCTAAATTGGATTAAACTTTGTCAATTGTATTATTAATTGACAATTTCAATTCTTTAACTTATGATTGAATTTATTTAAATATTTCAATCCTTCTTTAATACTCTTTGATTTTAAAGGTCAATTACTCACTTTTCATTTACTTAATCATTGTTTTTGTCTCTTCTACCAATGCCATATTTTAAATATCAATTTTTTCCATTAAACACTTAATACAAAGGTATTTATCTTCATCAGCAGTTGATTACTTTAAATCTATTGTTAAAATTTCTAATTTATGTTTTTAACACAATTTTTTATCTAAATCAGATGACATTTATTTAGTTTTATTAATATTAAAAAAGATATTAAATATTACCTTATTATAATAAATTATAAATAAAATTTATTCCAAAAATCTTTGTAATTTTTACTTCGATTTGATATTCATAAATTTATTCATCTTATAATAAGATAAAGGATATTAATTATCTGTAGTAAATGACCTAATTAATTGCTTTATTGTTTGAATTCTGAATCACAATGTTTAAACTCAAAATGTTAATCTATTAAATTTAAAGAGGAAACATTTTTTTATTATCTACTTACTCTATAATAGGGTAATTAAATAAATAAAATCTACCCTTGTAGGAATGAATTAGTCAACTGAGGTCTTTCTTATTAATTTATCTTATCTAAATAAAAAAATCCAATTTAAATTTACATTATTAATTGTAAATAATTTTCCCTTGTAGGAATGAATTAGTCAACTGAGGTCTTTCTTATTAATTTATCTTATCTAAATAAAAAAATCCAATTTAAATTTACATTATTAATTGTAAATAATTTAATTTGGATCAAATAAATAAACTAAGTATTTTCTATCTATTAGATTCTAAAGAATATTCATGGTGATTATGAAAATCAAAATATAAGAATCTATAAATTTTATGGAATTACTTGGTGAAATAGAATCTGCTAACAACATTATTCTTAATTTATTTTTAAATTTATTTAATAATTAATTATTATTCAAATAGAATAATAAAAAAGTAAACCTTATTTACAAATCCTAAAGTTTATCTCTAAATTTAATGTATTTGATTGATTATCAAATATTGTAATTATATAATTGATTTTATCTCTAATTTAAAAATTTAGCAATCTTTCATAATATTACATTAATTTTTTACTGAAAACACTAAGGCTTTTGATGAATATCTGAAATTATATATCATAAAACATCGTTTGATAGACTTTTAAATCATTAAAGTTAACTCTGGAAATCCTAAATGATCATGTCTAATTTATTCAAGAATATGTTGAACATCTTATTTTAAAAATCAATTACTTAAGAAATTATAAATTATATATTGATCTATTTATCTCCATTATAAATTGAAATTATTAAGATAGAAAATGAAATAAATAATTAGATAAAAAATATAGTAAAAATTTGATTCAAAGTATATATATTGTATATGATCAATAAATAATGAGAAAATCAACATTTTAAGTCTAACTCAATTTTCATTCTCGCTCTAGCCTTAACTATCTTTACTTTTAATATTATTTGTTTTACTATGGTCCTAATTATTGCCTTAGGATCTATCTTTGGTATTGAAATTTCCTTCATATTTTAAGAATTTGATTACAAAATTATATCATTTATATAATCTTAAATTCATTAATTACTTGAATATAATAGTCTTTCAAAGAAAGAATACTATAATCTTTCCCTTTGTTCACAAATTTTTTAATTGAAAAATAAAATTGAAAAATATTAATTTATCAATCAAAATATTTTGAATTATAGTTCATAAAGAATAGATATGCACCACATTTCGTAGCTTATTAATTCTTAATATTTGGTTTGACAGAGTATATAGAATTGATCAATCAGAATACTTGTAAATTGTATATCATCTACACATACATTTATATCTTTATAAGGATTGTAAACTAAATTTTAAAATAATTTAAAATATTATAAATTGTAGCAATAATCACTTTAATTCTTTATCTGATTCAAAGATAACTTAAGTGATAGCATATAAATTTAGAAACTAAAATAATATGCTTGATTTAACGGTTTTTTTTAACCATAAACATACAAGGAACTTTGAATTATTCAAGGTAATAATTAATGAAAAAACTTTGATAAATAATTTTAAAGATATTTATATAAATAATTTTTATCATTTAAATTATTTAAGATAATGTTGAAAATATATTTCAGTTTTAGTAAGGAATAGTTAAATAGGTAATTTTATAAATTTTAATTGAACCTCTATTTCTAATGAAATTAAATTTATGATTATTAATTTATAAATTTATTTCTCAAAAATAGTTATAAACATTTAAATGAATATAATTTACTTTATTAATTGATTTTTACAAGATATTAAATTCAAATATTTCAGTAATTTCTACTTTTTCAAATAAGGATAATTTATAATAATATTTTTTAAACATTTATAAACGTTTATATTAATATATATGTATATATCTTAATACTCTCCAAACATAAATAAATAATTGAGAACCCTACTTTTAGTATCTATTAAAGTTAAATTTGAATCAATACAGAATAATGATTCAATATTTATTCATTTAATATTTTATAACCAACTATAAATAGTGAGATATTTAGCAAAATTAAATTAATATTATCTTTCTTCAATAATGTAAGAAACCCAATCAAATGATAATTATATTGCTCTGGATATAACCACATAACAATCAGTAGGATCTGAACAAGCACAAAAAAGAGAAAGTAGAACAAAAAAAAAAGTAATTATAAACATTATTTAGAATAAGATTAAGATAATACCTCCTTTAAGAAACGAAAATTTCTACAATGAATAGATAAGGGCAGACTTTATAATGAAGGTTTACATCTGTCTAACGATGGAACTAACATTTACATTTGTTATGGTGATCTTAGGATTATATACAAATATGCAGTATTGGTTAGTGACTACTGGATAGTAAAAAAGTTGTTATTGTGCTTTTGGCAATTTTGCATAATGTGGATGTACATATTTCAGTCATTATTATCCCACTTGGTTGTTTTATGTTTCCATAACTGCTTCTATAATACTTCACATCACTGTATTTTGTGGAGGTAAAAGAATTAGAAAGGTATGATATTAGTATTGAGATTTAGAGACCTTGGAACTTGATTATCTTAGGACTTTATATTCTATTTTTTGGATTCTTGGTAACAAATCTTTGTATCCTAATTGCATATGAATTTGGAGTAGGAATAGTGTGGTAGGCAATAGGAATCACCTTTATCTTTGTTTTGGCTTTGACTATTTATTAATTTAAGACTAAAAACTGTTTATCATATAGAGGTATAATATATTCCATATTTTTTAAGTTGGCTCAATTTGTCTATTTATTCCGACATTGGCAATTATGCTAATATTAATGGGAGTATATTCAAATTATGCTCTTTCAATATTTTTATGCACTCTCTTCATAATTGGAGAAGGGTTCTTTTTGATTTGGGAAACACAAATGATTATAGGTGATGAAGTAAGAAAATTCGTAAATTCTAGAAACTAAAATTAACAATTGATGATTATGAAATAGGATCATTGTTATTGTATGCATCTATAATTCAGTTGATATGGAGGATAATGATCTGGATTATGGCAATCAAAGACAAAAAGTGAATATATATCTTTATATCAATAGAGTTGGAAGGGAAATAGTTAGAGAATGTACATTACATCAGCTTAACAAGAAGAGCTATAAAGAAGCAAAATGAATTTATTTGTATCTTTTTGATATATGCATAAAAATGATAATAATTCATAACAAATCTTATACTCATTTAAATTATTTTGATTAATTAATATATTATAATATTTTGTTTTATAGAAGAAAATTTAAATCTTTTTAATTGAAAAATAAATCACATTGTCCAAAATAAGAAAATTCAATATTTAACATGAAGAATAGCAAGTGATATTTAAATCAAGTATTATATGAAGTATTCAAAGAATTAAATTTATCAAAAATTAGTAACAACCATTGTTCTTTTATGGTTTAATAAGACCATCAACCATCTAATTAATTAATTATTCTATGAATAGATTAATTTATATTAAATGTATAATTAAGTTCATGTTACAAATTATGTATTAATAATTATGGCATAAAAATATATTTAATTCTTGAGATTTCATTATATATCTGAGGAATGTCAACTTATTTGAGATGATTGAAACACAAATGGATATTTATAATTAAGACATAAACTCCTGAACTAATTCAGGTATTTTACAACTTAAAAATGTTCTTTTATTGATTGTGGATCTTCAAAAAAAAATAAGCTAATGAAAGATTAGGAGATATTAGTTTATAAGAGTTGCTAAATTGCAAAGCGAGATTTTATTCTAATGTGGTGTGATAATATATAGTAAGGTTTGAAAAAATATTTTTAAAGAATGGAATATTTAATTTATTCAATTTGGAATATAAAATACCATCAGTGGATAAATAATGTTATTATGATAATTTAATATTTGAGAATGGATATCCTTTATGTTCTCATTAATTCTCTAAGCACATTTTATCAAGGGATTTATCTCAAATACCTAGAAAATTGTGTTTTAAATATGCAGTAATTTGTTGGGATTTACAGAAAAAAGTAATGTAAAGGAAACTATGAATTTTAAATTTCTAATCTAAAAATCACTTTAGTTTTCATAGTTAAACCTAATAAACAAATTGAATTCAAAATGAAAAACAGTTGAAATATTGATATAGTATACTTTGATTAAAGAGTTTATTAGATAATCTAAATAAGATATTTTGGAAACATAATTATATCAGTGATTTTTATACGATAACAAAACTCTTAAACGATCAAAAATTCAGTAAACACTTTAAATTAGTTCTATATTTTCCTAAAACCTAAATCGATTTGAGTTCCTAAACATCTCCAATTTTAATTTAATTATGAAAAGTGCTAATTCACTTTTATCTCTTTCCTTTGTTAATTTCATCAAATTCTCGACAATTATCTATCTCACTAAACCTTTTCTCTTGTTCTAATCGGTTCCTTCTTCTCTACCTATACCATTTTCCTCACAATTATTCATTAAAGCCGTTTAACTAAATTCCATTATTAATGTTAATAAACTATCACCTTCTTACTTAATTATATTCAATTTATTTCAAGATTAATATTCTTGAAATATGAGTTATAAATAATCTAACAATTATCCTATAAGGAAAGACATGTTAAGTTAAACATTTTATTAGTAAGGAATTTATGCCATTTGTGTACCACAATCCATACTAGAATATACGCTAAATGCCCACTATTAGTAAATATTTACTTAATAAATTTATTTATAGTTACTCCATTTTAATAATCAGAGTCTTTCCACCTTAATAATATTAGAATTTATATAATGATATCACTAAATCAACAATCCACCATTATCTTCATCATATATTCTTTTTTGAGTTCCTCAGATTTAATTTTTTTTAAATATCATCTAACTTAACAAAATTTGTGTCCCAAGACTAGCTTTCAAGATCTAAATTTATTTATTTATTTCAGAAGATTGAATAAAAAAATAATAATTAACCATATTATATATATTTTGTTATACTAACTATTTATTCGGTAAGAGCTTTGAAATTAGTTTATGAAAATTTATTTAAATAATATAAAGAATATGAGAAACTAATTTGCTCATTATATTTCAATTAAAAATATTATATTGTTGTTAACAATTATCAAATGATATTAAGATAAATTTAACAATATAACATGTATAAGAAAATGAATAAATAAGTTTATATCAACTTTGATACATTAGATTATGATAAAATTAATGGAAATGCATAAGAAAATATTATGATAGAGACATCTATTTCATCTTAAGAAACCTGTGATGAAATTTATAATTTAAATTAAAACTTAATTATATTTTGCTAAAGTTAATTTAGTTTGAAGTAATATTCTGTTAATTTATTGGGCTAAACAAATCTTATACTTGAATATGGTGTTTCTATTTAAATATAAGATCAATACAAGAAGAAATAATAACAAATTTTAGGAAAAAATTAATTTGTAATTGTATTCTATTAATGTTCTTAATGGACAATTCTTGAAATTAATCAATAGTAAATATTGCTTATTTTGCAATCGAAAATAGATTAACATAATTCATTATTTTAAGATTTATATAAAGTGGATGATGTACTAATTTGTGAAATAGATGTATAAATAATCTACTTTATTGAAGGAAATAATTACATTTAAGTAAGATGAAATTCTAATTATATTACCATTAAAAAAATGCTTGAACATTATGATAATAACATATTTAAAAGAAAATGATTCATAATCTATTTAAAAATTTGATAATGAAATTGAATTAAATAATCCTTATAAAAGTGATCAAATATATTTATTGTCCAATCTCCTAGTTTTATAAAATTAAACAGAACTAATCATTAGAATTGATAAACACCTAATTCTAACATATTTTATTCTAAACTTGTCATTAACTTTTCTGAAAGAAGATAATTTATTTTATTAATTAGACAAAACTAAAAATATATTATAATTCTATAGATATTTTCCTATAAGTAGTTTCATTGAACCAAAATTAAAATTTGTATATTTTATTCTGAAAACAGATGGATCAGAAAGATAATCATTAATGTACTGTTTTAAAATGTAATATGAAAAAAATTTGGATATAAAAATTAACAAAAAAGAATATGTCTTAAAAAAAAAAGATTGCTAAAATAGATAGAAAATTATAATAAAAACACATGATTTTGAATAATTTTTATTCTAAAAGGTGACTTTTTATCATAATGAAACTAAAGTTGTTAATTTAAGTATCTGGAATCATTAAAAAGATGAAAACTTATGTTATTAACAATTATAAAGATATAAATTTAATAGCAATATTATTTTAATATCAATGCAAATTTTAAATTACATAGTTTTTTAACTTAAAAATTAATTGTACTTCCACAATTTTGAATAAAACAAAATATAAATGAGCATAGATACTAATCAATTTGAAGTATTTCGACTTAATTAAGATTATTATATAATTGATAAAATTAATAAATAAGTAAAAGTAATTTTATTTCACTCAGGATCGATAAATTAAATTTAATTGCATTCTAATATTGAAATACTAAAAGTATAAAAGATGAATCAAATAATAATAATCTTCTTAAAAGATGAAAAAAATCCAATTATAATATCCAAAACATACAACTAAAAAATAGTAAAAAGTATCTTTCATAACATCTTAATTACCCAAATGAAATTATTTTTATTAAGAATTTGGAAATTATAAATTTATTTAATACTTGAATATCTTTACCTAAGAATTAAATGGAATTGTAAAGTTTTTTCATTTACCAGATGTCTTAATTGTATCTGCGAAATCAAAATTAAAAGATATCTTTTGTATTTTGTCAGTATAATTTGATTTCGAACATAAATTATAAAAAATCAAACTAATTCAATAATTCTATATCAATTTGATTAGTTTGAATAATAATAATAATTCCTTATTGAATTGTACACTAATTATATAATTATACTATATAAGAATATTCATTCTCTAATCCCTTTAATTATATCTGATAATTAATAATTAATCTATATAATGTTATCTATTCAAATTTTGCTATTTTAGTTAAACAAAACTAATCTATGTTTAAAAGTACTGATGATATGTATTTTGAATTTGTCAATGACTCATTATTATATTTAAACAACAGTTAAATGTAACAACATTACTTGAAAGAAATGATTGCAATTATCGAATCTAATATATAATTCTAAAAGACTTTGATTTCATAGTACCAATTATCATTATTACCAACTTTCAATTAGTAAGATTAATTCACTTTGAATTCTTTATTTAAAATCAATGTTATAATTTATTTNTTGGATATAAAAATTAACAAAAAAGAATATGTCTTAAAAAAAAAAGATTGCTAAAATAGATAGAAAATTATAATAAAAACACATGATTTTGAATAATTTTTATTCTAAAAGGTGACTTTTTATCATAATGAAACTAAAGTTGTTAATTTAAGTATCTGGAATCATTAAAAAGATGAAAACTTATGTTATTAACAATTATAAAGATATAAATTTAATAGCAATATTATTTTAATATCAATGCAAATTTTAAATTACATAGTTTTTTAACTTAAAAATTAATTGTACTTCCACAATTTTGAATAAAACAAAATATAAATGAGCATAGATACTAATCAATTTGAAGTATTTCGACTTAATTAAGATTATTATATAATTGATAAAATTAATAAATAAGTAAAAGTAATTTTATTTCACTCAGGATCGATAAATTAAATTTAATTGCATTCTAATATTGAAATACTAAAAGTATAAAAGATGAATCAAATAATAATAATCTTCTTAAAAGATGAAAAAAATCCAATTATAATATCCAAAACATACAACTAAAAAATAGTAAAAAGTATCTTTCATAACATCTTAATTACCCAAATGAAATTATTTTTATTAAGAATTTGGAAATTATAAATTTATTTAATACTTGAATATCTTTACCTAAGAATTAAATGGAATTGTAAAGTTTTTTCATTTACCAGATGTCTTAATTGTATCTGCGAAATCAAAATTAAAAGATATCTTTTGTATTTTGTCAGTATAATTTGATTTCGAACATAAATTATAAAAAATCAAACTAATTCAATAATTCTATATCAATTTGATTAGTTTGAATAATAATAATAATTCCTTATTGAATTGTACACTAATTATATAATTATACTATATAAGAATATTCATTCTCTAATCCCTTTAATTATATCTGATAATTAATAATTAATCTATATAATGTTATCTATTCAAATTTTGCTATTTTAGTTAAACAAAACTAATCTATGTTTATAGCTTTAATGAGTTTTTCAGATCAAAAAATCAGTTTGATTGATGTTAAAAGTACTGATGATATGTATTTTGAATTTGTCAATGACTCATTATTATATTTAAACAACAGTTAAATGTAACAACATTACTTGAAAGAAATGATTGCAATTATCGAATCTAATATATAATTCTAAAAGACTTTGATTTCATAGTACCAATTATCATTATTACCAACTTTCAATTAGTAAGATTAATTCACTTTGAATTCTTTATTTAAAATCAATGTTATAATTTATTTTCATTAAAGAATTCAATATCTTATAGTCTAACAAAAAATTAAAATTTATAAATAAAGATTTCTGAAATATTTTAAGGTCCAATTCATAATTTAACAATTTAAGGTAATTCCAAATTATAATTAAGAACTCTTTTTTTTTTTTATAATAAATCAAATAATGCCATAAACCTTTTAATTTCAAATCAACAAAATTATTTTATGATGAACTTTAAATTGATATTTAAAATAATTCTATTATATCATTACTTTTGACAAAATAGATTAGATAACCAGTATCAGATTTGTCATTCCAACTTGATTATGTAGGTGAGAATTATTTATTTTTCACCTCACAATATCGTAATGCCACATTTTTTATGATATTCAAGAAGATAGATTATTTTATGATTTTATCTATCGATTAAATTATTACATCTAAATCATCAAGTTAAATATTACACATTTCATTTTTTTCAATTAATCAAAAATCCATTTAGGAATAATAAAGTCATATGAAATCAAATTACAAAATATAGAAGATATAAATTAAGAATTTATATTATTTGCTCAAAATGATGTATCAGATGCTTAAATTCTAATACTAATAATTAATGAAAAATCTTTTAATGATTTTAATAAGAACATCATATTGATTTAATTAATAAATTAGGTTGTTATTATATTATATTTAAATGAAAAGTATATTTAGAATACAAGAAAGAAAAATAAGATGAACTCATGAATGATTGAAAATTAAATTTTTTTTTGATCATTAAAGATATATAATTTTAATCTGTAAATATATAAACAATAAATAATAAAAGATATTTCTAGTTATTATTAAATAATAAAATTTTTTTAAATATTAAAAATTCCTTTATACAAATATAAACTGATAATCTTTATAGATAGAGTTATAATATTAAACAAACTAGAAGTTAATATTAATAATGATAATAGATAAAATAAATACATTAAACTAATTTCAATCTGTACAGCAAACAATCTAACTATAAAATGAAGCTATTGCCCCAGCAAATACTTGATTCCTTTCCAATTGAAACTAAAAAGTTTAATTAAAAATAATACTCTTCCTTTAATAATTTAACTGAAGGCACTCATCAAACTAATAGAATATGGTAACATAAACAATATGCAAAACAAGAATATTGGATGATATATAATTGAGAAAATTAAGATCCCAATAAGCTCTATTAGAATAGGATCTAATAAAATTAAAAAAAAAGATGACTTACATATCATTTTGAGTTTCTCTTCAGCAAATACTAAGTAAATTAAAAGGATGAAATTAAAAATAAAGTTTCCAATAACTGATGCAGCTAAAAATATGGAAATTACAAAATCCACTAAAATTATAAATTTATAACATACATCCAAACTATTATCTAGAAAATGATGCCAAAGTGGATAAAAAGGCTGAGTAAAAGCAGGTATAACTTAATATAACCCCAAACAATATTAAAATACTTGTTAAAGTCTAAGATATTAAATTTAAATTACGTTTCGATTATTCTTTTTTATTCCAAGCTTTGCTAAAAGAATTGTTGTAAATGAAAACAATATTAATAGAATAAAAGAAATTGGATTTTAACTTCCATTTCGTTTATCCACAAACAACATTGAAATTGGAAATAACAAAATAACAAATATGATGGACCATAAAATGTAAATTCCTAGAATTCCACATAAAAATAATTTTTATCCAGGAAATTCCTTGTCCTTGATTAAATTAGAATAATTTGTATTCTATAGTGGCACAACGTAATCATTTTAATTTTGATAATAAGGAGCCACTTAATGTTACTAATATTATGAGTATTATTAATATATTGCTTATCCTTAAAGATTTTCTTATGGTGAAATTAACACTGGGATAAATTTAATGTTTTCGTTTGTTTTGTTTACTAATTATTATTATAAATCTTAATTCGATGATGATGGTTATGAATATTAAATATTTTCTAAGTTTGGGTATTTAACTTATTACATAATTTATATTATGAACTTGAATATGTAATATTAATATTTATATGTTATTTTATAAAGACAATATAGAATAATTTCTATAGAGAAATAAATATACATTTATATTAAAAATATATTCCTTGAAGAATAAAATATAAGTACCACTTATTTTATTTTTTTATTAAATTAGAATAACTACGATAAAAAGTAGAGCTTAAACTTAATAATTATTATTACTTTACGAATTAACCTTGAAATCTCTATGAAAATAAAAATACAAATTGTAATTTCCATAACAGATTATCAATATTCAATTTTATGTTTTCCTCTAGCGAATTAATAAAAAATAATGGGTATGGTGTAGTTTAATAAACAATAATTATTTTAATTAAAGATATTAAATTAATTGTTATCTGATGTTCTCATGCCTTGTTATTTCATATTAAGATGTTATTCAAACATTTAATTAANACTCATCAAACTAATAGAATATGGTAACATAAACAATATGCAAAACAAGAATATTGGATGATATATAATTGAGAAAATTAAGATCCCAATAAGCTCTATTAGAATAGGATCTAATAAAATTAAAAAAAAAGATGACTTACATATCATTTTGAGTTTCTCTTCAGCAAATACTAAGTAAATTAAAAGGATGAAATTAAAAATAAAGTTTCCAATAACTGATGCAGCTAAAAATATGGAAATTACAAAATCCACTAAAATTATAAATTTATAACATACATCCAAACTATTATCTAGAAAATGATGCCAAAGTGGATAAAAAGGCTGAGTAAAAGCAGGTATAACTTAATATAACCCCAAACAATATTAAAATACTTGTTAAAGTCTAAGATATTAAATTTAAATTACGTTTCGATTATTCTTTTTTATTCCAAGCTTTGCTAAAAGAATTGTTGTAAATGAAAACAATATTAATAGAATAAAAGAAATTGGATTTTAACTTCCATTTCGTTTATCCACAAACAACATTGAAATTGGAAATAACAAAATAACAAATATGATGGACCATAAAATGTAAATTCCTAGAATTCCACATAAAAATAATTTTTATCCAGGAAATTCCTTGTCCTTGATTAAATTAGAATAATTTGTATTCTATAGTGGCACAACGTAATCATTTTAATTTTGATAATAAGGAGCCACTTAATGTTACTAATATTATGAGTATTATTAATATATTGCTTATCCTTAAAGATTTTCTTATGGTGAAATTAACACTGGGATAAATTTAATGTTTTCGTTTGTTTTGTTTACTAATTATTATTATAAATCTTAATTCGATGATGATGGTTATGAATATTAAATATTTTCTAAGTTTGGGTATTTAACTTATTACATAATTTATATTATGAACTTGAATATGTAATATTAATATTTATATGTTATTTTATAAAGACAATATAGAATAATTTCTATAGAGAAATAAATATACATTTATATTAAAAATATATTCCTTGAAGAATAAAATATAAGTACCACTTATTTTATTTTTTTATTAAATTAGAATAACTACGATAAAAAGTAGAGCTTAAACTTAATAATTATTATTACTTTACGAATTAACCTTGAAATCTCTATGAAAATAAAAATACAAATTGTAATTTCCATAACAGATTATCAATATTCAATTTTATGTTTTCCTCTAGCGAATTAATAAAAAATAATGGGTATGGTGTAGTTTAATAAACAATAATTATTTTAATTAAAGATATTAAATTAATTGTTATCTGATGTTCTCATGCCTTGTTATTTCATATTAAGATGTTATTCAAACATTTAATTAACCCTCATCTCTTTATTTTTAGCAGCATCTAAAATTAAAAATAAAATATCAAGAGTTCATGAAAAATCAAGAGAAACTTTTGGTTATACTTTTACTTTAGTCTCAATATAGTGTTTGAAACAATTAATTCCTTAATTTATTCTGATTTTCTGATTAAGATCGAGTCATTAATGAAATATTTATTAATTTATTTGTATTGTAATTATCAGTTATCATTTCGAAGGATAGTTTTATTAGATTATCAAATTTACAATTTTTATGAATAAGTAAAGTTTAAGAAATTAAGACTTTTTGAGTAACTTTTTAAAATTAAGGTTTTACATTTTGATAAATCAAAATGGAAACATAAATTTCTACATTTTAATTGTTTTGTTGATAAATATATTAAAATGTTGTTTTAAAATTGATCAGTATTCAAATAATAATAATCTAAAAATTATAGATTATTTTTAATTTGAGTGAAACCCTTAAAATCATCTAAACACATCTATTTTTGTTTTTCAAAAGGCAAAATTGAAAAAATAATCCAATCATCAAAACTATTGATTAAAATAAAAAAATCATATGTAAGTTTGATCATCAAAATATTTTACAGGTAGTTGCAATAAAATAATTCTTATTTTAATTTTAATATATTATTATTTATCATTAATAAATATATACTAAAATATATACAAATAATGAAAGTAGAACTATTTTTAATCACTTTCATTAAGATTTATTCATAATTAGTTGTTTATGAAGAGAATCCATCAAGCATTCAAAATAGTAAAATTGTACAAAATTTAGGTTGGATGAGCAATAATGATACCCTTTATATTGATAACACATATGGTGTTGAGACTGTTAAGGTTAAGACATGCTTAAAAGATAAGGCAAAAATTTCAAAGAGATTTACTCTACCTTTGCATAGTTAAGTTAATATTGAAATTGTTGCATAATTTGGTGAATGTGTGTCTTAGCTTAATTTATAATTAGATGATTCTATACAAGACATTCCAATAGTATCAAGTACAAGGGTCAACTCTTTAAACTTTTAGTTTATACACAATAATCCAGCTACTTTTATTTCTATATGGATTAATTAAAATAATTCAACGAGTTGTTCAACAAGTAACTAATTTGAGTGGGGAGTAAACTTAATTAAAATTTCTGTTTTTGATTGCGATAATAAATATCATTATTGTGACAATTCGTATATATAATTACCCTGGAAAATAGTCTACTAATCTAATGATTTCATCAATTAAAGTATGAGTAACCAGAATATTTTCTACTCTTACTCTTAAATTTGTTTAAGTAAATTAATTTAATAATTTAGGTGGGTTAATTTTCCCTTTTTATTCATCATATTAAAATTTAAGTCTATAAATGGATATTTCATCCTAAATTTTACATAAAAATGGCAAAACTAAAGTTTAGTTCAAACTTGTCTTATCTAGACTTAATTTTAAAACAATCTCAATATTTTTAAATAGTGATTAAATTAAAGTAGATATAGATAAATATTATTAATATTGGTGTTGTCTCCAGTATTATGATATTTATGATTAATCTAAATATCACTATATTTATAATATTGAAATAGATACATATGTGATGAATTCATTAATACTAAATATCTAAATATAAGGAAATTATTAGGTTTATCTGAGTATTATAGATTTTATAATTTATTAACTTGAAAAAAATGTTGATGAATTAAACTTAAGTCCTGGATGTTCAAATGTTATAGATGGTTTATGTTATAATTGTATTGAAGGATGGAATTATTAAGATCAAATTAAATAGTGTCTACCGATTTGTGGAGATAAAATAATTTAAGGAAATGAAGAATGTGATGATGGGAACTTGATTCCTAATGATGGTTGCTATAATTGTAAATATTCATGTGTCAAAAATTGTTTTATATGTGAATTTGGCAAATGTATTTAATGTTTAATTGGTTACAAGCTGAAATCTTAACATTGTTAACCTATTTGTGGAGATGGTTTGACTCTAGATAGTGAATAGTGTGATGATGGTAATAATGATAAATTTGATGGTTGTTATAAATGCGAGTATAGTTGCCAAATAGAATGTAAATTATGTGTAAATTAATAATGCTTTTAATGTTTAGATGGATGGTAATTAATAAAAAATAAGTGTTAATAAGTTTGTAATGATAATCAGTTAGCAATAATTTCTATTGAGTAATGTGATAATGTTGATGATATTTATTGTAATGAATGTGCATAATTATGCTAAGATAATTGTATATTATGTCTCACATTTAATCAATGTTAAATTTGCAGACATCCATTTTAATTAGTTAACGAAATATGTACATCTATTTGTGGAGATTAAATTGTGACAAATGACGAATAATGTGATGATGGAAATGATATTTAATTTGATGGCTGTTATGAATGTTAATTATAATGCTCATTTGGTTGTAAATCATGTTAGAATAATAATATTTGTACAAAATGTGATCCTTAATTTACTAAATTAAATAATAGCACTATGAAATGTGAATAAATAGAAAATGAGATATTAACAATATAAGAAGAAATTATAGAGGATAGTAATAATTAATGTGGAAATGGTCTGTTTAATAGTCTTTATGAAGATTGTGATGATGGCAATATTTCGGGAGGAGATGGATGTTCTGCACACTGTAATATTGAAGCTTCATTTATTTGTATAAGTTTGGAAGGCTTATTAAGTATTTGCACTTATATAGAAACACCAAAATTTAAATTATAATAACTCTCTAATAAAAATAGTTAATAATAAATTATAGAACTTGATTTTACTTAAAAAGTGAAATAGAATATTGAAATTCCTTTTGAGAATATAACTATTTTCACAGTTTCACCTCCTACTAAATATGACATTAATATCATACCTCTAGTCAAATGTTCAACAGAATTTAATCAATCAAAATATTTAATAACTATATTTTTTAAAGATCCTGTTTCAAATCCTGTCCTAAAAGTTGAAATAGAGAAATCAATTATTATTAATGAATTAAATTAAGGTTTAACAGAATTTAAATAAGAAATCAACTTAGGATAACCATTTGTGATATCTGAAGCAACCTAATAAACGGTCACTAAAATTGTAGCTATGAATGATGCAATTATCTACTCAATGATTTCTATTTCAGGATTAGTTTTATTGACTGGAAACACTATAATGTTTTTAAATTTATTAGATTTATTGCAATCTTTATCTTATCTTAGATATTTGCAATATTAATTTCCATACCATTTGAAATACTTCTTGGACACTTATACTAAAATATCATTAAAACCAATATTAGATTTTTTATAAATTGATGTTTTCTTATCAACACTAAATGGTGGTACATTACCTTTTTAAAAAAAAGTGTAGAAATAAAATATATAAAATGAATTGAATACATATTTCTTAAAGAATTCCAAAAGTTGTTATCTTTCTATTTTGATATCTCTTGTTTCATACTCCATGTTTTGTTTGATCACTAGTTCTAAAATGGTTAATTGGATTAAAAAATTAGAAGAAAGACTTTGGAAAAATAGTAAATATTTAAACATTTGTAGCTTAATCTAAAAGAATATTATTCGAAAATGCCTAAGATTAAAAATTCAATATTTCTAATAAGGGATATTTTAAATGTATTATTCTATTCTTCATTAATTGTCATTTAGTGCTCTACTATAATTTCCTGATTATACTTTTAATTCAGCTTTTGATACTTTTAATAGTATTAATGCTATCACTGTTCTATTATTTATTTTACTCTCAACAATCTAATTGTTATCAATTACTGCCACTAAAATTAATGATAAAAGAAAATGGAAATATTTCTACACTGATGTTATTGATAGATTTTGGGCAAAAAATTATAAATCATTTTAAATATATAGAGTAATATTGTATATATTTATTATTGTTGCCTTTATTGATTTCCCAGAATTATAATCAATATTACTCTCTATGTTATCAATAATTTATTTGATATACTTAATTTCTAATAAACCTGTAAGATCTAAATGTGATTTGATTAAACTAATATTGAAGGAAACATTCCTAATGATTATTACTGGATCATTTCTTATATATAGTTTGTAACTAACCAATGACCAACTTCTATTATTTGGATGGATGCATATTGCTTTATTTTCTTCAATGTTAGCTTCTAGCTTAATAGTTGATATGATAAATCATTTCATCAAAGCTTATGAACATTACTAAAGGCTAAAATAATAAAAAGAAATTAAATAAATATAAAGTTATTTTAACAATCGCTTATAGCAATTTATTTTACATGATCCTGAAAAACAACAGATTAATTGAATAGAAAAATTGTTATTGCTTAATTTTTTGATGTAAATTTTTTAATAATATTGTTCTTATTATTCATTATTATTAATATAAGGTTCAAAATATAAGTTTCATTTTTAATAAAATTAGATTGGTTTTCTTTTTTATCATTTTAAATGTTTATTTTACATATAATTTTCAAATATTATTAATCAACTTAGATATTTTAGTTGTTTTTAAATTTTTATCTTATCTTATTAGACAAAATTTGTACAGTTGTTCCTAAGGTTTAATTATTCTTTAAACTCAGCTTTCAATAACAATAATTTAGATGATCTAAAATATTTTAGAACAATTATTTGAGAAGGTAAATCAAAAATTAATTGATTTTATTATATATATATTAATATTGAGTTGTTTTCTTCAAGTATCAAATTAAAAAATGATCTATATTATAAATTAAATTGATTAAACTATTCAGATTGTTATTTATAATTTAAACTTATATCTACAAAAAAAATATCTAATTCATAAAATTTGAAATATTTTTTGATGATAAGAGTGTTAGAAATCAGAAAATATTTTTTACGAATGCTTCAAGATATTTTAGATTTTAAACAATAATAGCTCGTGTGTTGTCTAAAAAAGAGATTTTTAAAGTTAAAACTATTTATATATATAATTTATTAGGAATTCTAATTTAAGCCTCAGGCATAAGGTCAAGCTACTTGTTTATTTATATATTATTTTCTAATTTTATACATTACCAAGTTTATCAGTACTCATTAAAATAGTTTGTTTATAAAATTGACTTAATTTAAACAATAGAATTTTTTATTTATATAAATGGCTGATTCTGACAATATATTATTCAAAAATTTGAAATTAAAACAATACAATTAGCATCGAGATCCTTATTTAAATAATTAATGTTATATTCAAATAATAAATATCAAAAATTAGAATTATTTTTCTGATTAAAAATATTTATAAATATTTTCAAGCAATTTCTTGATATTTTCTGAATTAAATCTCTCTAGATATATTATCCCATGTTATTAGGTACTATCCGTCATCACTTAGTGTTCCAAAAATGTAATAATTCTCATAATTGATTACCTAAATAATTTTTAGGCTAAATTCAGTTTCAGTATAATTGTATTTAGTATCTTAATTTTCTTCTTAAACTTTCATGATATTCAAGTAATTACCATTTTTATTTATTAAGAGCTATTTTTGATTATTATAAATGGAAGGAAAATATGGATAGCAACAATAACCTTTACCAAAAACCTTAAAATTTTAAAATTGGATGAATTCTTGATTTTCATTTAGAGTGTATACAATTAAATTTTCTGACGATTCAGGTTAAAAAACGAAGGCATTCTTATTGATATAGCACAAACTAAATCCTGATTAGTCTACTTATATCATTTATTTTATGAACCAATTTTGAGTTTGTTAGTTTTATTCAATCACTAAGATTAGATGATCCTCGCCAGAGGAAATTACTTAATTACCCTATTAATTTATCGAGATTCCCCAAACAATATTTTAATGCACACTTATATTTTAAGAACATATCCACTGTTAATTATTTTTTGGTAACTAAATCCAAAATTTTATAGTATAATCAGTACTACAAGAAATAATAAGATCCTCATTAGGTAGGCGTTTTATTATACATTAAATAGTTGAGTTGTGTCCTAGCAGTTTTTAAATTTATTTAGGGTTTGACATCATTATTGTTGACCATAAGATAATTTATGAATCAAATGACCCTGTAATAAATAATCTATTAGTTCTAAAGAAATTTAAACTTACAACTTTTCTTTTATGACATATGATTTGCTAAATTTTCTTTAATTTCTCCTCTAAAATTACAAAAATTTCTATTTTAGTTGAATTGGAAATTAATAATAGGGAATTATTCTAATTGATAGCAATTGAATGAGAAAATTATTCTATTTTTTGGTTGATAATTGTATTGTACTTGAAATCAGAATGGCTTGAAAATTCTTTCATAATTAAAAGGACTTTTTGATAATCACTATTTTATATTAAATAATACCTTATTAAATGAATTATCTATTCGTCAATTCTCTATATTTAGTGTTGAACAATTTCGATTTCTTATGAATTGATAGAACTAGTAAGTCATTTATTTTAAATTGCGAATTAGCACAATTTAAGATTAGTATTAGACCAAACTAATTAAATAGAGGCTGTTTTTTTATTTATATTTAATTGGCTTAATTTATGAATACTTTAATTATTTATTTCACATAGAATCATTAAGAGGATTTGATGATTCGTGAATTAATTAAAATAACTTTTGTTAAAATATAGATATAATTATGATATATATTTAAAAACAAGAATTTGCATGAATCTCTCTCTTATCAAAATAAAATAATGTGAATAATAATATTATTAAAGTAAAAATGAATATATATTAATAACAGTAGGAATATTTATAAATTAATTTTCATAAATAAAATTACTCTTTAAATTTGTTCAAAATTAAAAAATAATCTCGTTAATTCAAATTTAAATAAAATTATTATTAATATAAATTTATTATTAATAATAATGATCTTAAATATTTTTTTTAAATTAATATCGTTATATTTTATCTAAGTAAATTTGTGTAATGTATTCTTTATTTCATTTAATTCTCAGAAATATAAATATTCTTTAATTGGTATTTGAAATTAAATAAATAAAGTTAGATTAAATATATATAATAAAAATAAAATTTTAATCAGCTAGATTTATATTTATTTAAATTATTATTTAACAAATACATAAAATATTAAACATTTTAAATTCAATTTTAATACTTAGTGTTTTAACAAAGAATGATAAAATATTAATAAAAGTATTTTTTTCAAATTACATTCAAGTTAATGCTTATACCTAATAAAAGTAAGATTTGGATAAGTATTTTCAATTTACTACCTTGTTTAACATTTGAAAGTTGATTCGATATAGTTCATTTCTCATTACTTTAAATAGATATTTTTTATTGTCATGATTAATATTGATCTTTCAGTAAAGTAGTTTATCGTTTGAATAAATTCCCATTACATTTAGAATCTAATGACTCTGGGCATGTATTTTTTCTTTAATTATATTAACATAATCGCTATAAATTTATCCATATTAATTTTTAAATTCAATACATTCAAGCAAAAACAAGCGAATTCAGCTAAAAAAAGATTGTGAAAACATTTAAACAGGTTTTCCTGTTTAAAATTCATTTATAGAAGGTAAATTAAGAACTTGATTAAATTATTTCCACTTTTTATATTGATTGCTTTTTTTGGGGAAGCTGAGAGCAAATTGTAGATTTAGTTTCTCAATATGAAAAGATGAAAATTTAGTTTGGATAAGGTAATATATAAATAATTGTTTAAAATTGATTATATAATTAAAAGTGTAAGAAAGGCAGTGAAAAAATGAAATATTTTTACAAGTCTAAATAGAAGTAAAGTTCTTGAATACGTCAACAAATGAAGGTTGTAATCAATAGAAAAAAAATTTGTATAAATTAAATTTGTAAATGAGTTCTGAAAAAGGAGAATTTAATGTTAATTTTGGAAATTATTTTGCTACTAATGTTTTTTAGAATTAACATTTATTGTAATCTTAGTAAAATAACAAATAATAAGATGTATATTCATTTTATATTATTATGTAAGAAAAGATCAAAAAATTTGAAGTTAAATAACTAAAATATGATTTACAAAATATACATTATTATTAAACAATATATTTATGGAGTCTAATAACAATCATAATTCATAAAATGAATCTTTAGAATAATTATAAATTGAAAATACATAGAATCAAACTAAAATAATGAATGTAATAAAATTAATTATCAAACATTAAATTTAATAAAATTGTTGATAATCAATATTTAATAATTGTATTAAGTAAATTTGATATAATAATACAAAAATTTATATAAATTATAAAGTTAGATTAAATATATATAATAAAAATAAAATTTTAATCAGCTAGATTTATATTTATTATTTAAAAATAACTAATAAATTATTAATATCAATTTGATATATGAGTCATCACAATATTGTCGAGAGAATTTCAAATAAATCATTTATTAATAAAAAAGTAGGAATAAATTGAAATGGTAAAATATTAAGAATAAATGGATAGATCAAATATTATAGGTAAGATGGCAATATTTTTTAATAATAAAGTGCCCTAAATTAATTTATATTTGTTAGTTTATTTATGTTTTTTTAACATTATTTAAACTAATTTTATGTTATTAAAATCTGATTCAATTGAGGATAGGAGAAGCCAAATTGAATTATAAAAACCTTCTAGTATTGTGGAGAACAGCATCACTCTTTCTTTAAGAAGAAGGCCTCATTAAAGAATTAACACAAATAAATAAGATGGAGAGGACTCTTATGGTAGTTATAATATGGACCATCATGAAAGAAGTTTATAGAAAATAGATAGCACTCCAAGAGGGTCTCCTTTACAAAATATGTAATTCTAAAAAGCCTCTATTTTCACTAAGGCAGCTTAAAAAAGATAATAACAAGGACAATCTCACATTCCAGAAGTGTAAACATAGGAAACTTTTTAAAAAAAACAATAGGATGTTTAGGATTCTTAGTAAAATCTTGAAGAACTTAGAAATGTTATTGCAAAACACATATTTATAAACAAGTGGTATTAAGGTCCCTCATATGAGAGAGCTAATGATAATTTTTTTATTAGGGATGATAAAATAATTATAATTGAAGATGATAGTAGTGTGGATAATTAAGAAGGCTTAAAAAAACCAGAAGAAATATTAAATAAATTAGTTGAATCTCATATTAATCCAACAAATTATGTCCTTCAAAAGAATGAAACTTTAGACAAGGTAAAAGAAGAAGGAGATAGACAATAAAAATTGAAAAAAGAAACAGAAACAAAGAAATTAATTAAAAATTCAGATGTTCGTATGACAATATATCCTGCATATGATAACTTTTTTAAAAAATAATCATGATAAAAAGTAAATAAAGTTAGACTCAAAAAAGTAGTAGTAATATAATTATACTATTTTTTTTTGATTAAGATCAAATAAAAAGTGATCTAAATTCTCTAATTCTATCCTAAGTTTATTTTTCTTGTTATTTAGTATTGTATATTTTCGGAAAATAATCTTAAAGACAATTAATTAATCGGAATATATATGAACAAAATTGATTTATAACTTTTCAAGGTTATTTCAAGCAATCTTCACATAATATAATTAATTTTTATTAGTTTTATAAAAACAAATATAATAATATTTATTTACTTATTTTCATTTGTTAAGATTTTATTTTGAGTGATTAGATAAAAATAATAAAGATAATAATATTAATAATATTTATAATGGAAGAATTAAAAATAAAAAAAATTATAATTTCCATTAAGAAATATTATATATTTTGATTGAAAATAACTTGTAACTATGATTTTCAATATATAAAAATTGATTAATATACTGATTAATATTCATTATGGTATCATTTTTGGGCAACTAAATAATTAGAAATATGGGATAAGAATAGAATTACTATCGATATTATTAGAAAAGCCAATTGAATTCCTAATGTAAAGTAATTAAATGTGTCTTTCTAATATTAGACATGATATAAACATATTCGAAATGAACACAATCATTCAAAGCACATTGATTCTAATAATTGCAACAGGAAGTTTAACAAACATAGTTTGTGCATTAAACAATTAAAAACAACATAATTAATAAAATGAGTGAAAATTATATAGTTTATATGTAGGAGTTCAAAATTTCTAAAGTAGTATCCACTTAATTAGAAGTTGGAGAGATTTGTGAATGGGCACATATATCAGCTGATTAACCTACTCTAGAAAATGATTCTGATATTGACAATAAATAGATATTCTAATTGAAGTGCGATCAATTTGTTATAGCTTCATAAAAACTTAATGATAGATTTCATAGAAAAGAAAATAAACTAATTAAGCTCAATGGAAATCTAGTGAATAATTTAAAAGGAAAAGCTTCTATTATAGCATTATAAAACAATTAAAATAAAAATGAAAAATAAAGAGAAGAAAAACAAGATTATAGTGATGATGAATATAATTAAGCTTAGATAGGCAAAGGAGAAGAAAGTCCTGATAAAAAAGTCTTTAGATTGTCAGAAAACTATATTCATAAAAATGAAAAAGAATTTGAAAACGGAAAAAGAAATAGAATTGTTGAAGTATAATTAAAGAAAATTGAAATTTAATAAATTAGTTTCATAGAAACATGGGATTAATTAAAAAGATCATAAGATATCAAAGAACAAATATAATTTTTAGAACATACAAGCTCTTTATTTGTAAAATTAATTGGCTGTTTTAGTGTACATTTGAAAAATAAAAGATTGATTAATGAAAAAAATTAAGTATTATCCATCTAAACAAGGTTTGTATTATGGCAGAGACATCTTTTAATGATAATAATGACTATCATTTCAGAATGCTTTATACAATATATTGTTAATTAATGACAACAGATTATTGTTTAAGATATGGATATCATTGGGAAATGATTGGGTTTTAAGGTACAGATCCAGCCACAGATCTTCGAAATACTGGAATTTTGGGGTTAGTTTAAATGTTAGCATTTATTTCAGATTATAAATTATATGTTAAGAGTGCATTAAACACACTATCAAAGATGAATATTCCATTCTGTATAACATTAATAAATATAACATCTTTTGTTTTAGTGAGTTTGAGAGATAATAAATTAAATTATCTCATTAATCAGGAAGACTCTGTTATTAGTGTGATCAACAAGCTTTATTTTGCTGGTTTCCATTTGTTGATAAAAGCCCTTAAAAAGTATTAATTATTACTAATTTCTTAGAGAAAAAATTTAATTTAACAAAATTGGAGTTCTGTTGACAAATGTACGTAAATAAATACATGAATATCCACAGAAACTAATATAATAGTTTCAACATGATATTTAATTATTTTATAAGCTTAATGATAAATGATTGAATATAATATTATTATTAAGTATCGATAGAAGTATGTATATATATATAAATTTCGTTTGTTTATTTAAGGAGCTAGTCAGACACACTCAAGTCTTCACATATTCGAAGGCTTTAATACCCATAAAGAATATTAAAGCACTACGAATATGGATGGGCATCGCGAATCGCATTCCATGAAATAGAATGGATTCATATTCCTAATTATAGACCAGAGTGCATGCTGAATCATTCTAGCTTGGTTGGTTGCCTACATTTGCTGAAGCAAAGTGTAAGTAACTACTATAGACATGATCCTGTACGAGTACAGTCTTAATATTAATAACATTAATTAGAGGCCTTAAATATAAATCTATAAATCTAATTAATATGGGTTTATATTTTATTTAATGCTAGAAATTTAATAAGTAGCAAATGAAATCAAAGAGAAATTGAGATACAAAAATGTAATATATTTATTTTAGTAACTTATAGGAGGATGATTTAATAATATAATCATTTATATTGGGAATTTTACAAGGAAAAGATACTTAATCATCTTAAAAAGATTTTTTCCAATCAAATTTAGAAATACTTATGAGTTTGAATATGCTTATAGATATTAAAGTGTATAAACATCAAAGAGTCTAATAGCTATATAATGAAGCCTTGAGAGGACATTCAGATGTATTATGTTATTTTAAAGTTCAAGTTAAAATAACTATGTATATAATTAGAAAAAGAGGTTTTTGAAGGCGAATATTCTTAGTAGGATACTAATCTGACATCAATGACTACATCAAATAATTAAGAACAAATATCTCAAATATTTACATAGAAAAAAAATTAGAAACTGTAAAATTAATCAAATTGGGAAATTTAATCTTAGCCTTCTATTTTATTTCCATTGAAATAACAACAATAATAAGATTTCAACCAATTTAAAAATGCTTCTATGATATATTAATCTTTAACAAAAGATAAATTTGATGAATCAAAAAGCTTTGAATTAGCTTTGTAATTGCAGAAATAGTATATTAATTCTTTATTATAGATTTGAAGAAGAATAATAATTGGAGTAGCTAAAATTATAGTAAGATTATCAAGAATACTAATAATTCGAAGATGATAAGAAAAATTAAATTGAATGCAAAATCTGTTTAGAAAATATTGCATTTGCAGAGATGGCAACTTTATATTGTACACATATTTTCCATTAGAAATGTTTAAATCAATATTGCAAAACTTAAATATCATCAAGATAATTCCCCATTTTATGTCCTTCTGGATGCAAAAATAATATAATCTATTCAGATTTAATAGAAGTGCTAGATGATCAATAATTAATTGAATTTCAATAATTAACATTTAAGGCATATATAGAAAGTCATGGTGATGAAGTATCAAATTTTATTCTATTGTAGTATTCATGGTGTCCAACACCTGACTGTAAATTTGTTTTTGTTGCTGGAGGGAATCCTTAATTGGATTGTCCTGTTTGTAAGAAATCATATTGTTTAGATTGCAAAATTGAATATCATAATGGATTTTCATGCCATGAATTTAAGGAAAAAAAGAAAATGGAATCTAGATTAAAAAATGAAAAATTTCTTGATGATAAATTCTTTAGTTTTATAAAAGGGGCTAAGTATAAATAATGTCCAAAGTGTAAATTTTGGGTTGAAAAAAGTGAAGGATGCAATCATATGACATGTAGGTGTAAATTTGAATTTTGTTATGTTTGTGGAGGAGTGTATTAGAAATGTGCATGTGTTAAATAAGCACATGATAATTGGCCTACACCTTTAAATAGAAACAGAAATTAGAGGAGGATATGATATGAAATCAATATATAATTCCAAATAATATTAAGTTCATTTTTGAATAATATTTATATTAAAAAATATAGAAAAGATGGCAGAGGAATAATAACCATTTTCATTTACTCCAGAAGGTGGAAGTGCTACAAATTCAACAAAGGATTATACTGGCAAAGGAATAGCTACGTAAGAATGTTTTATTTTGAAACAGTTATCCAAATGGTGATACCTATGAAGGTTAATATGTGAATGGAGTTAGAGAAGGAAAAGGGAAATACACTTACAATCCTTCAGGGGATAGATATGAAGGTGAATTCCAACAGAATTTGAAACATGGAATTGGAAGATTGATTTATAATAATAATAAAGGAGAATATTATGGATAGTGGGAGTCAGGACTTAGACATGGAGAAGGACTTTACACATATGCCAATAAAGATGTTTATTCAGGATAATGGTCAAGAGGAAAGAAACATGGATAAGGTACTTATGTTTTTAATGACACTGCCATGAGAGTATTATTTTGTTATAATTTATATAATAGTTTAGAGGTACTTGGAATAACAATGAGATTGTTGATGGGGAGTGGATTTATCCCAATGGAACAGTTTATAGAGGTCCATTTTAACATAACAAACCAAATGGTGTTGGCAGATTTGAATTTGCTAATAAAAATTAAGTGGAAGGTTATTATACATAAACTATTGTTCCAAATGCAAATCCAGATGACACTACATTAAATATATAATTGGAATGGGTAACAACAAAACATTATTGATTTATAAATAATCAAATATTATGTTATTATCTAAGTTTGGCTTTCCTTTTTAAGCTTGGAATTAAATCAATTCTTTATTTATTATTATTATTATTATTATTATTATTATTATTATTATTATTATTATTATTATTATTATTATTATTATTATTATTATTATTATTATGAACTATTTATTTCTTTTGATTCTATAAATCTTTATCTTATTTTTTATTTATATCTAATCCTTTATTTTCTTTTTCTTATTCATATTTATCATAATGATCATTTAATTTTAATTTCATTTCCTCTAAATCCTAATTCCTCTTAAAAGATGGACTTTCAGTTGTCCTTAAAGTCTTCTTTTATTCTTTGTTGAATGTACCAAATTCAAAATTACATTATTATTTATCAGGAGTATTCTTCAATTGATCTATTTTTATTGAATTAAATTTTTTCAAAATATCAATCATCATCTTTATTAATTACTATATTAGCAATTAGAAATTCTATTAAACTATATCAATCTCTATTGTCTTTATGCTTCCACAATAATTTTAAAACAAGGCATTCAATTTCTCATGTTAATTACAAACTTCATACAATTCTTTGTAATTAGAAAGCATTTAATCCTAGCTTTATTCTATTAAAATAATACTTATTTCTATAATTAAATCCAATTTACAATCTTCCTACATCTTCACTACTGCTTGATGATGAACTTAAGTTTATTTTCTTTCTACTGCTTTTATTCTTAACGAATATTTTAACATTATATACTTTAACAGATTAAACTCTATTTTGAATACATTGTATATCTTGTTATATTTAAGTTAATTACTATCTGATAGTAAAATCCTCTATATTCTTTCTTTTGTGAATATGTTACCTATAATTACTATTTATATTAAATTTACATCTGCATTTAAAATAAACCATTCTAAAATTCTAAATTCTGCATTTTTGTAAATAATTCTTTCTCAGTATTACATGATCGTCCAGTATCATTATCCTCTGTAACAAACTGTTTTATTACTGCACCTTTAGCCTATTATTATTATTTGAATCTTTCATTACTCTAGATGTGCTTAAATTTCCAAACTCTGTTTTTATTTGACGGTCTTCATACTTAAGTTAAGTATTTGAATATGAAATATCTTTTAGTCTCAACTGATGGAATTTCATTTATATTAAATTTGAAAATAAAACAATAAAATTTTAATGCCACCTAAGAAGGATAATAAAAAGGAAGTAAAAATACATCTATTTTACATTTAGTTAGTCTTATCTGAGGATGATGGTACTGGTATTTTAAAAAATATTGTACAATTCAAAATACAATTTCAAGTGGTTACATAAAATATCTAAAATATTGTAATCATGTATGAATGGTTAAATGCTAATTCAACAGAGAGATATGATACAGGTCTTATTGATTAATGGAATATGGTTTCAAGTGAACCATAATAGAATCCTGATGATCCACCAATTATTACTTATTCTTATGAGAAAGTTTTTGATTAAATAAGATTTATTGATTCATTAGCAGAAGTGTTATCAAAAAAAAAATTATACATGTACTTTGTAAATGCAGATGATATGAAAGTTATGCAAGAATTTTAATTTGATTATAGCTTAATGCTCAATACTCCAAGTGTATATAAATATATTAATATTTAGTTCGAATTTGCCTTCTCTAAAATGAGAATCATGGAAATACTAGATTTTAAATTTAATATTTAAAGTGATAAGCCCTTATTGCATGAACAATTAAGAGCTAAACTTAATCCATTTTAAGTGGAAATAGTATCATGTGAAAATATACCTATTTAAGCATAAAAATCATACGAATTATGCTACGTATAATATGAGTTCTATGATGGAACAATTATAAAAACTGATATGTAGGTTTAAATGTAAAACATGTATTTTAATTCTAAACATGTATTTTTATTGGGAACTATGGACATAGCTAAACATTTTGAGACTAAACCATTAAAATTTGAATTGCATGATAAAGATGAAGTTGTCAGGAATGATATTAAAGAAGAATTATAATTATTTGATATTGAAAAATGGCTCTAAATAGAAGAAGAGAAAAACAGACCTCCTGAACCTGATTTCACAGTAGATCCAAAAACAGGTAAAAAGATACCAAAGAAAGAATAAAAGAAAGAGGATAAAAAAGAAGTTAAGAAAGAAGTAAAGAAAGATGCAAAAAAAGACAATAAAAAAAAGGAAGTAAAATTAGGAGAACCAATTTTAGAAGAATAACCAAAAAAATAATATAATAGAAATAATCATGGTGTAGCAATAATGAATTTAAGTGCTTTTATTCATTCAAATGTTAGAGAAGTGGATTTATTAGCTGGAATAATTCCAAGAAGAGTTTTTGAAGATACTGAATCTAATAATTTAGATTTGAATACAACTGCTAGAAAAAATATTCCAAAAGTATTTACAGCAACTAATTATTTGGATTAGTAAGCTACTATGTATGTTAAATTTGAAATGTCAAATGCATTAATTAGAAAATGATATATAATATATATTATTATTAATTATTAATTATCACTTAAAAATATCTGAACATTCTGTGTCTTACTAAGATAATTATTATCTTTATTGATAGAATTGCTTTTATAAAGTTTCTTCTTCAGATAAATGGGATTTAAACGTAGATAATTATGATTATAATCTAAATTAATTAAAATTATAATTACGTTTAAATTTCTTCCATCTTTGTTAATAAAATTTATTCAAGTCCTTTTACATATTCATCAACATCTGATCCAGGTTTGTCTATATTATGTAATAACATCATTTCCTAAATATTTATATTATTAAATACTTATTTAACTAATTCTACCATCTAATCTATATGAGATCTATGACTTGAAATTAGATTTTCTTCTTCTTCAAGAATTACACTTATTAATTATTCATGTTTTTGTCCTATCTTCATTAAATCATCTTCCATAGATGAATTAATTTCTACATATTTTAATTTTTAAATACTTGATTTTCTTTCTATTTATCCAGGGAATAAATTCTCATTCATGTAAGGTCGTGTCTCTTACAATTATGGAGTTGGTTTATTAAATGATTATTTATTTTTTGTATCATTGATTTTGAATTATGGTTGTTATTATTATTATAAAGGAATAACTGGCTATGGTTATGGAGGGGGAGGTTATATAAAATTTTAAAATGTATAAGTTGGCTATTAGGATTATTATGGTATCATCATTCCAGGTACAGAATTTTATAAATTTAAAAATTAAGGTTATTGAAATAGATTTTAATTCTAATAATTTTGTAAAGGATTATTTTTAAATGGATTAAATTATGGTTATTATTATTATGATTATTGATTCTAAGGTTATTTCTACATTTTCACAGGTTACTATTATCTTGGTAACATTAGTTCTCTAGCCAATTTATCTAATGAAGTAACTTAATCTTTTAGTTCTTTATCATTAGGTTTCTTTAATTCTTTTACTCTATCGGCATATCTTAATGTATTGAGAGTATGTTCAGAGGATGAATTAGATGGTGAAAAGTTACCTATCATCACAGTTTTACAATTTCCAATAAAAGAATCCTTTAAAACTAAAGTCAATTTTGATCCTCTGAATGGAGTATGATTTTTATTCAAATCTAGAGCTCTTATACATTCTTTTAATGCTAACAATGATTTATTAATTTCAGCTCCATCAAATCTTGTTTATTTATTTGTATCACTTACATCAGCTCCTCTTTCACTACCTGCCAAATCAATAAATGATAATTTTCCATGAGATCTAGATCCATCTTTTAATGTGATTTATAAAATAGCATGAGATCTTGAAGAATCATTATTTGATGAGTTAGATGCTGTTATTCTAGAGGCACTTCCTTGTTCAATTACTTTCATTAATTATTCTACAGATTGTACTTTTCTTTCTTGTAAACCAACTATATTGACATTTCCTTTGGCATCTTCACGTGGTTGAAGTAAAGATCTTTCATTTAATAGATCAAAAAGTTTGCCACAATATATTTCATAAAAGGAGATTGCAATTTGAAGATGGCCATAACATTCATTATTGAGCAAACAAAAAATATCATATGCTGCCAATAAATATAATCCAGGGACTCTTTCTTGATAATCACCTAACATTGTATATGTTTTGCCAGAGCCTGTTTATCCATATGCAAAACATGTTACTTTGGCCTTATTAAATGCTGCTTCAACGATGGGTCTCACAATTTGCAAATATAACTGTTCATTAGTGGTATTTTCATCGAAGGCTGCATCAAAATTAAATTAATGCTCTTCAATATATTTAGTTAGATCAACTTTGGTTCTAAAAAAGATAATGAATATTTTAGAAATACCTTTATTCTTTTACAATCACTTAACTCTATTAATTTGAAACATCAACAATATCAATATCACCCTTATTGATTTCTTTCTTATTCAAAGGTCTTTTACGAACTGCCACGATGATCTTTGGTTCACCTTGTTCAATTAACATTTTAAATTTTACTTATTTTTTGAATTTAATTTGTTATTTTTAGTTCGTTATCACTACAACATTAATATATATGTAATCCAATCCTAAAATTACTCCCAATAATCCATTTTACACAGGCACTTATCCATAGACTATATTAGTAAAGGATAAGCAATAACCTACTAAAACCCGCTATGATAGGTAATCGCAACCCATCATAAGAGGCAAAGGCAAACATGCAGTTACTTTTAAACCTGATATTCATAAAATTTACACTGTTGAGAATTGGAAAATATATAACATTGAGAACGATAACCAACCCAACGAAAACAAATGTTGCGTAATACTCTGACTATAATTTATTAATATATATATAAGTAATATTTCTCATCTTAACTTTGATTTCAATTTAGCTTAATACTCCAAATTCTCTTTCTATACTTTCTTTATAAATAATGATTTATCCTAAACCTTCATTCTTAATCGTTCTACTTCTCCCTCTTAACTTCAAACTTACTCATGAACTAATTCATTGTTATACTATTTATTTTTGCATCTTCTACAAATTTCTGTAACTGTTTATGCTGACTAGCTAAAGTTCTGCAATTATCTTTTATTTTCATTAATCATTTATCAAACTTTCATTCTGTTCTTTTAATATATTTATCTCTTCTTCCATTGTTTATAATGAATTCAATAAATCTTCTTAATTCTGATTCTTTTCATTCATATTCATTAAATCTTTCAATTGAACTTCTATATATTTGATCATCTCTTTATTTTATTATATCATTCAATCTACTACATTCTATCCCTAACATATTAGTCTAGTATCCCAATTCTTGGAAATTCTTACCATAATAATACTACTATTCTTGTTGCTGATTTTCTAATTATTAATTCACACATTTCAATTATTAATACTGTTCCTTATATCTCAATAATTCTTACTTTAAAAATTTAATCAGACAACTATTTATATTTATGAATATCTTTCATTTCATTTCCAATGTATGATTCTTTTCTTCATTCTCCAAATATATTTATAATCTTTATTATCATTTTATTCTCAATTCTATAACTATGATAATAAGCAAATTTATTCAAATGATTTACAATACATTACAGTCAATTCATTTCATTTCTATTTTAATTATTCCTTATGTTATTCATATGTTTATTACAGATGATCATAATCCATTTCTACTTATATTATTTTAATTGTCAAAACATTTTCGCTTGATTTCTTTTATTCTGCTATTTCCTTTACTTATTCTAATTAATTCCTTAAACCTTAATTTTATTCTTTTAAAAAACCTAATTTACTTTTCAATTCACTAATATGTTATTCCTATGATGTTATTATTGCTTATTATTTTAATACGGTGAACTCTTGATCTTTAGATTAACAATAAAATTAAAAATTTGTTTATGATAGCTTCTCTTCTAAAACATTATTGCCCTTTTTTTAATTTTATTAATTGCCTTCCTTACTTATTAAATTAATTTATTATCAAGTCATATACTAAATTTTGATTCTTATTTTCAAAATTTGATTATTATTACAAAATTTATCAAAGTCTAAAGATTTCTTATTTTGTTTATATTTATTCCTACTAAAGTGCTCGCCTATATTTAGATTCCTATTATTCCATCTAAAATTTCACTGAATAATTCTCTTATTTCCTATTCAAATCCATAGATATAATAGTTTATTGTATGTTTTTTCTTATAATTTGAATTTTTATTTTTGGTAATCAAGTTTGTTATATTATTAATTATTATTCATACTTTTAGATCTTGATTCTCAATTGCAAATTTAGGATCTTATTAAATATAATGCTTGAAATTTTAATTATTAATTATTAATTTTCCAATTTTACTCTTTCAATTGCTTTAATAAATATTTCAAAATCTTAAATTTAATTATTGATTTTATTATTTGTATAAAGCGTAGTTGTAGTTGTGTATTATTATTTAACTTTTATTATTACTATTATTATTATTATTACTATTATTATTATTATTATTATTATTATTATTATTATTATTATTATTATTATTATTATTATTATAGTTACTATGATTATACATTTAGTGCATTAGATTTAATAAATGAAAAAGATTTTAGATCTTATTTATAATCTGGTTTATTTTCTCTTTTATGAATAGAGTTATGTTATGATAAAGGTTATCTAAGAGCTGTATTCATATGATTAATAATTAACAGATAAAATAATTATAAATTTAATGTGAAATCATCATTATAAAGTTAATTTTGGCTCATTCATTTCCTTTTAACTAAATTAATGATAATTAATAAAATTACGTCCACTTATTTCCACAGATAGGAGTTTTATTGGCGCAAATGTATTGAATAATGATTTCCTTTTCATTTTTATCAGTTTTAAGGAAATAGATGGCTTCATCATAATTGCATCTAAATAATATTAATAAATTTTACTTGTTACAGATAACTCTCTTTCTTGGCATTGATGGATCAAGAATAAGTGTATTATCAGTAATATCGATAGCTTTTGCTGCTTGATAATCCTTTTTGAGTAAAAGAGCATCTTTATTTAATGTCTTATCAATTTTGACTTCAATTATTCCATTATCTCCACAATCCTGATTTCTACATTTGAATTGCAAGATTTCAGTAACTACTCCATCATGATATGGTTTGAGTAGATTCTTGCATCTTGGACAGAATCTCCATCCATTGTAATTTTTCACTTCCATAATTTAGTTAAAATAATTAATGGATTTATTATAAGACCCTAAAGGAGATAGATAAGTAAATACAATACCAACCCCACCTCATAGACCATTAAGTGAAGAGTTATTGTTTATAGATGACAAACCAAACTGGAAACTATTAAAAGAACATCTTTTCAAGGAGGGAAGAATAACAAAGAACTAATTAATGAGAATAGTAGATATGTGCAATTATCAATTAAAAAATGAAGGTAACGTGATTTATGTGGATGATCCACTTACTCTTGTTGGAGACATTCATGGACAATATTATGATTTGATGAAAATTCTTGAATTAGGAGGGGATCCAGAATAAGGAAAATATGTATGAGTATTTGTGTATTTACATGTTTTTTTAGGTGATTATGTTGATAGAGGATCATTTTCAATAGAAGTAGTGGTTTTATTGTATGCAATGAAGATATATTATCCTACAAGAGTGTTCCTTCTTAGAGGAAATCATGAGTGCAAATAATTAACAAGTTACTTCAATTTTAGAGATGAATGTTTATATAAATATGACCAAGAAGTCTATGAAGCCATTATGGCATCTTTCGACAATATGCCTTTAGTGGCTTTAATAAATAACAAATTCTTATGTTTACATGGAGGGATATCTCCAGATCTAAAATCAGTAAAAATAGAATAAAATATAATGAGTTAGCAGATGTTGAAAGAATAGATAGATTCAGAGAACCACCAAAGGCAGGATTGTTTTGTGATATATTATGGGCCGACCCAGTTGAAAATGAAGAACTTTATGATGAAATTCATTATAGAGGCAATGATACTAGAGGATGCAGTTGGTTTTTTGGAGAAAAAGCAGTCTAACCATTTTTAGATAATAATAAGTTTATCTGTTTAATAAGAGCTCATGAAGCTTAATTAGAAGGGTATAGATTGTACAAATACAATGAAAAAATAAAAGAATTTCCTCAAGTATTGACTATATTTAGTGCTCCTAATTATTGTGATGTCTATAATAATAAGGCAGCTATCTTAAAATTTGAAAATTGTACACTTAACATATCTCAATTTGGTTATTCTTAACATCCTTATTTATTACCTCATTTTCTTGATATTTTTTCATGGTCAATACCATTTGTTACTGAAAAAGTAACAGAAATGCTTAATTATGTATTATAACCAAGACCTGGTGAGAAGATTGAAGATTCAGATAAGGAAATACAAAATACTAAGGTGATTTCAAATTAATAAACATTGGGATAACAATCATCAAACAATCGTCCATTAGGCAAATTACAATAAATGACATAAAAATAAATTGATATAACCAAATCAAAAATCTCATTTGTTTCCAAAATGATGAAAATGCAAACTGTACTCAGGTAAGAAAGAGAAAATATAATAAAACTAAAAGGCTTATGTCCTGATAAACGTATTCCTAGAGGAGTCTTATTATAAGGAGCTGAGGGAATAAAAGATGCACTTGAACATTTCAATACAACTAGGGCTGCAGATAGAATCAATGAAAAATGGCCAGAAACTAAATGAATTATCTACATTATATTTAATAATGAACGAAAAAACTGTTGATAAATATAAACTCTTAACGACAGATCTTCTTGGAGCAGGATCATTTGCAAAAGTATATAAAGGAATTGATACTACCAATAATAGATTAGTTGCCATTAAAATGCTTCCAAAATAAAATATACTCAATGATAAATATTTAATGGAAGGATTAAGAAGAGAATTATCAGTTATGCAAAAACTAAGGGGAAATAATGTAGTTCGTTTATTAGATACTCTTGAATCTTAAAATAATTACTATATTGTACAAGAATTTTGTAAAGATGGAGATCTAGGAACCTATCTTAAAAAATAGTAATATTTAACAGAAGTTGGAGCCATAAGAATATTAACAGATATTCTTAATGGTTTCATTGAATTATTATAATAAGGAATTATTCATCGTGATTTAAAACCAGCTAATATTCTTGTTCATTAAAATACTTTTAAATTAGGAGGTAATTTAAATTATAAATTAGATTTTGGATTTGCTAAATGCATTTCAAATTTTTAAAGAGATATAATGGAATCTGTTGTTGGAACTCCACTTTATATGGCACCATAAATTTTAATGAGAGAAACATATACAAGTAAATGTGATATTTGGTCAATTGGATGCATATTTTATGAATGTATATTCAGAAGAACACCATGGATTGCTAATTCTGTACCATAATTACTTAATACAATATTAAAATACCCAGTTTAGTTTCCAGCTTATATTTCTGCAGAAGCTAAAGATTTTATACTGAAATGTCTTGAAGTAGAAGAAGATAAACGTATGGGTTGGAATGATCTTTATAGACATCCACTGATCTATTCAAAATTTAAAGATCATGTTGATAAAGTTATCAATATGGAGGCTTAAGCAGAATTTATTATTAATGAATTAAGATAAATCATTGTTGTCAAATAAATTGATTTATTGGAAACATTTAAAAAGTTATAAATTTAGGATAATTAATTTCTAACTTTTAAGGAATTACAACTTTTATTAAATGAAATTGATCCTAAACTAAATAGATAATAAATTGAATTTGTTTTTAATATGATTGATGTTGACATGACTAATTAAATTAATTTTTTGGAATTTTAAAGATGTCTTTAATAACATAGAGTTAGATTAAGCTTATAAGAAATTAAACCTGATATCATTTATGAAAACAGCCCACTAGTTTAAATGCCAAAATGGAAAATAGAATTAAAGAAAATTAAAGATAAAATAGAAGAAGAAGAAAAAANATGCAAACTGTACTCAGGTAAGAAAGAGAAAATATAATAAAACTAAAAGGCTTATGTCCTGATAAACGTATTCCTAGAGGAGTCTTATTATAAGGAGCTGAGGGAATAAAAGATGCACTTGAACATTTCAATACAACTAGGGCTGCAGATAGAATCAATGAAAAATGGCCAGAAACTAAATGAATTATCTACATTATATTTAATAATGAACGAAAAAACTGTTGATAAATATAAACTCTTAACGACAGATCTTCTTGGAGCAGGATCATTTGCAAAAGTATATAAAGGAATTGATACTACCAATAATAGATTAGTTGCCATTAAAATGCTTCCAAAATAAAATATACTCAATGATAAATATTTAATGGAAGGATTAAGAAGAGAATTATCAGTTATGCAAAAACTAAGGGGAAATAATGTAGTTCGTTTATTAGATACTCTTGAATCTTAAAATAATTACTATATTGTACAAGAATTTTGTAAAGATGGAGATCTAGGAACCTATCTTAAAAAATAGTAATATTTAACAGAAGTTGGAGCCATAAGAATATTAACAGATATTCTTAATGGTTTCATTGAATTATTATAATAAGGAATTATTCATCGTGATTTAAAACCAGCTAATATTCTTGTTCATTAAAATACTTTTAAATTAGGAGGTAATTTAAATTATAAATTAGATTTTGGATTTGCTAAATGCATTTCAAATTTTTAAAGAGATATAATGGAATCTGTTGTTGGAACTCCACTTTATATGGCACCATAAATTTTAATGAGAGAAACATATACAAGTAAATGTGATATTTGGTCAATTGGATGCATATTTTATGAATGTATATTCAGAAGAACACCATGGATTGCTAATTCTGTACCATAATTACTTAATACAATATTAAAATACCCAGTTTAGTTTCCAGCTTATATTTCTGCAGAAGCTAAAGATTTTATACTGAAATGTCTTGAAGTAGAAGAAGATAAACGTATGGGTTGGAATGATCTTTATAGACATCCACTGATCTATTCAAAATTTAAAGATCATGTTGATAAAGTTATCAATATGGAGGCTTAAGCAGAATTTATTATTAATGAATTAAGATAAATCATTGTTGTCAAATAAATTGATTTATTGGAAACATTTAAAAAGTTATAAATTTAGGATAATTAATTTCTAACTTTTAAGGAATTACAACTTTTATTAAATGAAATTGATCCTAAACTAAATAGATAATAAATTGAATTTGTTTTTAATATGATTGATGTTGACATGACTAATTAAATTAATTTTTTGGAATTTTAAAGATGTCTTTAATAACATAGAGTTAGATTAAGCTTATAAGAAATTAAACCTGATATCATTTATGAAAACAGCCCACTAGTTTAAATGCCAAAATGGAAAATAGAATTAAAGAAAATTAAAGATAAAATAGAAGAAGAAGAAAAAAGTTTTGTTAAGTTATTTAAATAATTTGATAGTGATGTCAATTAAGTACTCGATCTAGTTGAATTTGTCAAATTTCTCAGGTAACCATTCTTTAATACATATATTATAGATCTTTTAATTCTAAAATCAGCAATGAAGATGCAAGTTTGATTTTCTAACATTTTGATAAAAATTGTAATGGAGGTATTGATTTTTTAGAATTTAAGTCAACTTTCGAATCTTAACTATGATCTATATTAAAATTAAATATTTAACCATTAGATTTTATTTATTTCTCATAACACTTATATCTTCTCATTTTTATTAATCTATTTATTGAGAAATTAGATATTTAAATTGATTCTATATAAAAAAGAATATATTCAAAGATTCAACATTATCGAACTAAAGTTTCTATTATTCATTCTTATTATTAATTTTAGATGTTAAAAATTAATAAATTAAAAGTATATACTATTCTTTATCATTTATGTAGATTCAATATATTTTGATGTATCTATAAAATTAAGAAATATTTCTATTACTCTTAAATACTGTAAAATAATAATAATATATCAAATAACTCTATGAATTATTTAGTTAATTGTATATTTAGATTTTATTTTTATTTATAAACTTAAATACTTAGAATCTTACTCATTGAATTTCAGAATGATTTTTAAAACTTTATCAATTAATGATTATTACTGTTTTTGATTTATAAACAACTACTATAATAAATTAATTTCAAATGAAATGATTATAAGATGATTATAAGATATTTAATTATGGCAAAATTAATCATTATGCTTATTTTTTTGCTTCCTTTGCTATCTTCTTTTATTCTTCCTTGGTTTTCAATAATCTAAATGATTCTTAATTAAGTTTTGCTTTTTCCATCATTTATTCTTCAATATTTTTATTTATGGTTTTTGTGATTTTGGTATTTTCTTCAGTAACAAGTTTAGTATACAATGTCTAAGATTTATTCTTTTTAATTTTGTGTTCTAATTTAAATGAATTCAATACTTGATTTGTCATTCTTGTTTGATTTTTTGTTTTTTTATTTACTTTATTTTTTAAGGAGTTTTTAAGCCATAATCAAATTCGTTTTTAATTAATATAATAATGAAAATTTTGGTGCTTTGTTTAATAGCATTAGCTATAGCAGACAAATATGATTAATTCAGAGCATTTGATGAAGATGAATTTGGTAGAACATTGATTGATACATTATAAATGTAAATGAGTACAGGTGAACCTATTGCTCGTTTTATTGAAATAATGAGAAATCTTGAAACATCAATTGAAAATGAATAAAAAGAAGATGATAAAGCTAATAATGAATATTAAAATTAATGCACAGAAGATATTAAAGTTTTATAATAAGAAAGTGCTAATTTAGAAAGAAGAACAGTTGAAATTCAATCAATTTTAGATGAATTAGAACCATTAAGATCATATAAATAAGGATAAGCAGATGCTAAAAATGCATGGAAAATAGAAACTGAAAAAAAATTAGCTGATTTAGTAAAGAAAAGAGAAACAGAAAAAGCTGCATTTGATAAAAAAGTAGAAGAACATGATTATGCAACATTTGTTATTGAAACAGTTAGAAGAATGTTTTCAGATAAAAGTTAAAGTTTTTTATAATTAAATAATGAATCATAATGGTAAAAAGTTAGAGATTACTTTATTAATGCATCTGAATAAGCAAGTATATATATAATATATTAATTAAATTAGAAAAATTTGAAATTAAAAAGAGTTATTCTAAAATATTCAATGTATTAGCTGAAATTGCTAGTTCTGCTTAATCTGAAGATTTCTAAAATTCACCTACAGTTAATAGAATTGTAAATCTATGTGATCTCATGTTAAAATAAATTGAAGATAGTAAAGCTTTAGAAACAAAGGCTGAATAAAAAAGATTAAATATGTTTATGTTGGAAAAGGGTAATTTTGATAAAGATTTAACCAGTTTAAATAATGCTCTTGCTTAATTAAATGCTGCTATTTTAGGTTTAGATAATAGAATCTAAGATTAAAAGAGAGATTTGACTGATTACAATGCTAGATTATCTGCAAAAAATAAATAAAGTGAAGATAGAGGAGGAGAATGTAGAGAAAAAGCTTATAATTATTAATTAACAAGAGAAAAAAGGTATTTTATTTATTCATATATCTTTTAGAGAATAAAAAAGATAATTGGTATCATAAATTATAGGTGCCTTCTCTGCTAATCAAAGAGACTTTTCAGAATATGTTAAATTAAGAGGATAAGCTGGAGATTTCAGAGGAAAAAATTTCTAAATTCTAGGCAATCCAACAGAAGATTGATTATGAATTGTTCTTAAAATAAATAATAAATAATAAATTAATATAAAAAAGTTCTAGAATTTCTAAAATATCCATAAAGTAATAAATTCTTCTTTGATTTATTGATTAATTTATGTTAAAATAATGAAAAATCATTATAATACTTTAGGTCTTTAAAGAGATGCTGAATAACAGTAAATAAAAGAAGCGTATCATAAACTGGCATTAGAATGGCATCCAGTATGACAATATTGTTTAAATCAAGCTAGGATAAGAATATAAACAATAGGACATAAGCAATTATCTAATTCTAAGAAATTAGTGAGGCTTACAACACTTTATCTAAATAAGAGTCAAAGAAAATATATGATTATAATCTTGATTAAAAGAAAATTATAAGATCATTTAATAAAAGATAACAAGTATAAGAAAAAGAATAATTAAACTAATTAACAAAAGAATTTAATTTATCTGATAATTACTTTTAAAATAACTATACCTATTTAACAAAAGATGAGTAAGATACTATAAATAAATTCATAAATAGAATGGATAAGTAAAGTAAACGGATTAAAAAAAAATAATGAATTTATTATAATCATTTTAATATTTTTTAAATCTTTATTCACTTTCTCCATAATTATTATAATCACAGGTTTTAATAATTTCTTTCTGTGTTAATATTTATAATCCTTATAGAAAAGTATGAAAATTAATGATGATCTATAAAAGGAACTAAGTTTGCAAAATTTGCAATCTTTATTACAAAAATAAAAGGATTCTATTTCAACTAAAAATTAAAAAGCTTCCTTTCTTAAATGCATAGTCCTTATACTAGGTACATTTTTAATGTTTGGAAATAATTACTCCTTTGATAATCCTTAGGCTTTATAGACTTAATTGATTCAACAATTAGACATTACCATCTCTTAATTTAATTTACTATATTCAGCTTTTGCATTTCCAAATATCTTCTTAACCTTAATTGGGGGAGTGATCACTAACATTTTAGGTAAGATTTACATAATATTTTAAGGAGTTAGAGTGGCAATAATAGGATTTAGTTTAGCTATTGTGATTGCGTAACTCATTATATCATTTGGTGGTTTATATTAAAATTTTTGGTTAATGTTACTTGGTAGGATTATTTTTGGAACTGCTTCAGAAAATCTATTAATTGCTTAAACAACCATTATAGGAAAATGGTTTAGAGGAAAAGAACTATCTACTGCAATTGGATATGTAATGGCAATACCTGAATTTGCATGTGGAATGAATTCTTTTATTACTCCTATTATATATAATGCATTTGGTCTTTTGGCCTATCCACTATTCTTCAGTGCTTTTCTATGTTTTCTATCCTTCATATGTGGAGTTATCTTATGTATTCTAGATAAGAAGAATGATTAATAATAAATGGGTAATAATTGAAAAAACAATATATATAGAATTAAATTAAGAAATTCATACAATTGATAAGGTATCCTTTAGTGATATTAAAAATTTTACTTTCACTTTTTGGACACTTATTATTGTATGTGCTTTATAAATCGGATCTTACACACCCTTTTTGGATAATGCAAATGATTTTTTGTAGTAAAAATTTGATTTTACTTATCTATAATCTGGAAGATTGCTGACTCTAACTTATCTGGCAGCTGGTATAAATATTATTTAAATAATTAGCAATCTTAAGTCCCCTAANTTACAACACTTTATCTAAATAAGAGTCAAAGAAAATATATGATTATAATCTTGATTAAAAGAAAATTATAAGATCATTTAATAAAAGATAACAAGTATAAGAAAAAGAATAATTAAACTAATTAACAAAAGAATTTAATTTATCTGATAATTACTTTTAAAATAACTATACCTATTTAACAAAAGATGAGTAAGATACTATAAATAAATTCATAAATAGAATGGATAAGTAAAGTAAACGGATTAAAAAAAAATAATGAATTTATTATAATCATTTTAATATTTTTTAAATCTTTATTCACTTTCTCCATAATTATTATAATCACAGGTTTTAATAATTTCTTTCTGTGTTAATATTTATAATCCTTATAGAAAAGTATGAAAATTAATGATGATCTATAAAAGGAACTAAGTTTGCAAAATTTGCAATCTTTATTACAAAAATAAAAGGATTCTATTTCAACTAAAAATTAAAAAGCTTCCTTTCTTAAATGCATAGTCCTTATACTAGGTACATTTTTAATGTTTGGAAATAATTACTCCTTTGATAATCCTTAGGCTTTATAGACTTAATTGATTCAACAATTAGACATTACCATCTCTTAATTTAATTTACTATATTCAGCTTTTGCATTTCCAAATATCTTCTTAACCTTAATTGGGGGAGTGATCACTAACATTTTAGGTAAGATTTACATAATATTTTAAGGAGTTAGAGTGGCAATAATAGGATTTAGTTTAGCTATTGTGATTGCGTAACTCATTATATCATTTGGTGGTTTATATTAAAATTTTTGGTTAATGTTACTTGGTAGGATTATTTTTGGAACTGCTTCAGAAAATCTATTAATTGCTTAAACAACCATTATAGGAAAATGGTTTAGAGGAAAAGAACTATCTACTGCAATTGGATATGTAATGGCAATACCTGAATTTGCATGTGGAATGAATTCTTTTATTACTCCTATTATATATAATGCATTTGGTCTTTTGGCCTATCCACTATTCTTCAGTGCTTTTCTATGTTTTCTATCCTTCATATGTGGAGTTATCTTATGTATTCTAGATAAGAAGAATGATTAATAATAAATGGGTAATAATTGAAAAAACAATATATATAGAATTAAATTAAGAAATTCATACAATTGATAAGGTATCCTTTAGTGATATTAAAAATTTTACTTTCACTTTTTGGACACTTATTATTGTATGTGCTTTATAAATCGGATCTTACACACCCTTTTTGGATAATGCAAATGATTTTTTGTAGTAAAAATTTGATTTTACTTATCTATAATCTGGAAGATTGCTGACTCTAACTTATCTGGCAGCTGGTATAAATATTATTTAAATAATTAGCAATCTTAAGTCCCCTAATTGGTCCATATGTAGATTAAGTTGGCAAAAGAAGATTATTTATTTTAGCAACATGTTTATGTTTTATTCTTACTCATTTCCTTTTTGGTATCATGAAATCAAGCCATGAAGGACATCCTAATTATGTTTCAATAATTCCTCTAATATTATTAGGTTTATCCTATTCAATGTATTGCTGTATTATTATTCCTACTGTTTAATATGCTGTTCCATAAAGAGTAGTTGGTACTGCCTTTGGGTTTGTTGGTATGTTTACAAATACAGCAATGACTTTGTTTCCAATAATTGCAGCATAACTAGTTTAGAATTCAGTTGATGCAGAATAAGGATATTCATTAGTAGGATATTTCTATTGTGGGATTTCAATAATAGGATTAGGATTCACAATTTCCCTTTATTATTTTGATACTCAAAATTCTATAGTGTTAGATTTTGTGAATCCTGAATCACCAACTTTGGAGGAGAAGGAATTTTAGGAATATTAATAATTTTAATGTAATAAAGAAAAGTTGATTGAAATTTGATAAATATTGTTAAATAGTAATTAGAATACAGATTGATTGTAAGTATATAATTAATAATTTTAATAACATATATATAAATATATTTATTTTGTGGATATAAATTTATAATGATATATTGAATTTAATACATTTAAATATATCATTAATCAAGTGATTATTATGAGTCATAAAATGTTTAATTTTACTTTTCATTAGTTCTTTTTTTAATCCATGTATTAAGTAGATTGTTTGATTTTAAAAATTCCAAATTTGTATTCTAATTAACATATAATTGTTTACAAACTATTATTGCTTTTATTATTCACTTTACATTTAATCAATAGGAGCTTATTGTGGAGTTTACCACATATTTTACTATAGTGGTACTTATTAAGGTTGAATACTAGGGGACATCTCTTGATATGGACTGCGAATGAGCAAAGGTGACATGCCCATATAAGCATTATTATTATTGTTGTACATATACATGGGCTGTGCAGGTGTGTAAACCATAGGAGTTTAATTGATTTATGGGAAAGGGGAAATTAGGTTATAATTGGAAGGGTAATTCTTAAAATATTATCCCATTAACATTTAAACAGGAGTCTATTAAATTTATTAAGGCATTTCTTCTTAAAATGGACGAAATCCTTGATAGTGAACTTAATTTTATTGTTATTGAATAGGAGACATTTGAATTTATTTTAATCTGAATTGATCATGTTTTAAATCTTCCATTTATTATAGTTATGGTTGAAAATAATAAGATAAGGTGTTTGGTGTCGATAAATCTCTCTTATTATTTTCATTTAATTATAATTAGGGAATTTAATATTATGAAGATAGAATTTTTTATTATTGATCTAGTTAAAAAGATGATTATTCTAATAATTATTCATCATTTTTTTTATTGATAATTTATTCTTATTATTATCTTGTTATTAATTATTATTATTATTATTATTATTGTTATTATTATTGTTATTATTATTATTATTATTATTATTATTATTATTATTATTATTATTATTATTATTATTATTATTATTATTATTATTATTATTATTATTATTTATTTTCCTTTAATTTTGTCTTTTGAATTTATTAAACCTTTTATGATTATTAAACAACAGGATCAAGACCAATATTAAGGAAATCCTTAATTTAAGAACTTATCTTTCTTCTTTTAGTTTAGATTTCTTAAGGTACAATTGGAGGAGCTTCTTGAATTTTGTCTTTAGTCTTGTCTCTTAGATTGAATTTTAATTTAGCTTATCTTGAATAATGTGTTCTAATTTAAGGTTCTTCTTTTTCTGGTTCTTACTCTTCTTCAATGTTTTATTTATTCAAATATTCTTTGATAGCTTGTAATTCTTCAATATCATCATCTTCTTCATCTTTATGTATTTTTTAAATTAAACTTTTGAATCTATAAGATGGTAGTATTAATAATACCTATTTTTGACTTAGTTCTCAGTCCTACCTTCAAGTAATGTAGATATAAGAGACCATCTCTTACCATTTTTAACAACTGTATTTAATAATTGAAGATCTTCCTACTGACTCCAATTAGTTCTATTGTGTTTAATAAGTGAGGTTACTTTTTAAGTTTTGGATTTAAATAATTAATCCATCTTTCTCTAACTTATTTGGGTGTTCTAATGAATTATCCATTATTTTGATTATATAATTCAAGTGCAATATGAGTCCAAATGTGCTTTTCATCTTATTCACTAATTTATTGATATAAATAAACTCACTGCATTAGTGACTTTATGATTTCATCTTCTTCTGGATCCCAATTAATACTCTTGGATACTGGATTAATTAAAGTAATCCATCTTTATTTTAGTGTAGTTTCATCAATTTTTAGGATTGATCCTAATTAGATCCATTCCTCTTGGTTTGGGTTTATGGTCTTTTTGTTTTTCAGTTAAAAGAATTTACCCAATATCCAAATAAACATCATCTTACATTATTTGTCCCATTTACGTTTAATTCCAGCTTTCTCTTCAGATAATAATCTAAAACAATATAAATGATTTTCGTAACTTTTAGGCTATAGAGTCGAAATGTTTGCTATTAGGATTAATGAAATTCTCTTTAATTTTGAATTAGTTACGGAAAGGGAATGGAAGTTCTGCATTTTTCAATGTACCCAACTCTTATAGAAACTCATGAAACATTTAATTAATTAATGGTTAATTGGACTTAAAGATTTATTACCGGTTTGATTGGAGCCCCTATTGTCTTATATACTATTTAAAATTAGTTAGCCCTATGTGTCCTTATAAATGGTATACATATAATTTTATATTTTTAGTGGTCCTTTATTTGTTGCATGCAGAATTTTAAAAATTGATTTCTAATGTACTCAAACATAATTGTAGTGATTCAGATCGTTGGTATGTAGAAACTATGGCATCCTCTTGGGTATTCTTATACTTTATTAATGATTAGTTTATACGAATTCCTACACATTATTTCATTACTATGTCCATTATGTAGAGTAATCCATTAAGTGTTCATTTACATATGATTATATCCATTTTCTTCTTACTTCTTGTTAGATTGATGAATTATCTAAAAATTAGTGATTTCTTGAAATAAAACTAAAAGTAATCATACTCTTAACAATTATATTATTAGAACTATTTCAGATAAATTTCCTAGTCAAATGGTTGAAAAGAAAATCTAAATGTTGACATTCTTTTAAATGTCTGCTGATATAGTTTGTAATTACTAATTTATACAATTAGAATTCATATTGTTTGTATATCCTCTAAATTTTGTTTTAATAGTATTCCAATACAAATAAGCATAAGCATTAAATTTAATTTGGTTAATATCTGCTTGGTAAACTGATAATGGAGCATTGTTTATGGGTTCTATGTTTGGTAAAACATTATTTTGTCCTAAAATTTCACCAAATAAAACATGGGAGGGAGTTAGTGGAGGTATATTCTTAAGTGTATTCTCTTCACTTATACTTTCTTAAATGAATTTCTTATCATTTATTACTTTGGATGATTTACATACTAAACATTTTCTATTAATTTCATTGATTGTATCCATAGCATCTATTTTTGGAGATTTAATAGAATCCTTCATTAAAAGAGTTGCTGATGTCAAGGATTCTGGCTCACTCTTTCCTGGTCATGGAGGTATACTTGATAGAGTATTTTATAATTTTATATATTTAGCTTGATTCTTTATGTTTTAGTGCCCCTTTTGTTTATCTATACATCTAAATATTTATGCATGATGTTTTAGAATTGGCATGATTATAAAATATTAATATTCATTATTTTATTCTATCTATATTAAGTAAATTAGATAAATTCTAATATTTAAAATCATATTTTAATATTTGTAAAATATCTAAAATTCACATCTTGAGTTTATTTTCTTTAATTAAAAAGTTTTATCTTTATAATTTTTAAAGAAAATATCAAGATACACTAAAAGTATTATTTTAAATAAGAATATTAGTTTTCAAGTAATTTTTAGAGTGTGAATAATTTAGAAATGATATCAATAAAATTCAAAATATATAAAAGTATTAAATTGATATGATGAAATTGACTAGTAGTAAAATATTTAGAAGAGAATTGACAAAAATTTGAAATTGTAAAAATTGTATTTATATTTATGTAAATACAATTTTTTAAATATGATTAAAAAAACATTATAAGAATAACTAAACAATTTCTATGTAATTATTTTACTCTAAATTTAAGAGAATTTGAAATGACTGTTATAGATTATATTGATCCAGATAATACAATGAGTTTTTGATTATAAAATAGAATAGAGAAAAAGAGTGATTAATAACACTACTTATATATGTTGAGAATTGTCTTTATAAAGAAAAAGTAATTAAATCAAAAGACTTTCTTATATACTTTAACTGAACATTTAGAAATTATGAGGAAAGTGGGTAAGGATGATACAAACAAGAGCGAGAAAGAAACCTTTGATATAATTAATTCATACTGAGAGTTTTTTTTAATTTATTTGCTTGTATTAATTTAAAAAATGCAAGATATTAAAGTCACAACATTAGAAAATAATAATGGGAAGGAATTAGTATGTATTTGAGTCTATTTAGTGTAAATACTCTATAAGATCAATGGCTTTACCTAAAATTTCAATTGCAAAGTAATTGCCGTATTTGAGTGGATTAGATGATGTCAGTATGCCCAAACGCTATAATAGACAATACTACAAGATCCAATAACCAACTAAAGAGAAGGATCTCATTAATGATGTTAATTGAATTGAATATATTGATTAGAAGGAAGTCTTCGGGAGTCTGACATAAAATAATGAGGAACTTTATGAGGATCGCAAACCAAAAGAGTTGATAGGTCAGGATGCATACAAATCCTATTATCATACATTTAAAAATATAAAGAGAATTTTGGAATAGAACTAATATGAGAATATTTAGAGTATTGATAGTATATGATAAATAATAGATTCTGTATAGACTAATTTGATATAGAGATCTGAGAAATTAAAGATTTTGCCTTGTAAGATGGGATTAATAAAATTAAAGGGTGATCGTAATTCATTATCTATATAAAATTAAAAATTTGGAGATAAATATGTGGAAGTACTTTCAGAAGGTTTGAGAACATTGCCAGCTATTTAAGATTTTAATTTCAATCATAATAGAATTAAAGAATATGGAGCATCATAATTAATGCCATTAATTAGTAAATAAGCTAGAAGAATAGAATTTTAAACAAATTTGATTGGAGAAAAAGGTTTAGATTCAATTTTGAAAATACTTCCTTTATAATAATGCAAGTATAATTAAAATTTAATTTAAAGGATTTAGATTTTGAATTTAGAAGATAATAATTTAGGAGATTAATTAATTATTGAATTATGTAAAGCAATGAATAAGAATCTCTCTGTAGAAACTTTGAATATATCAAAAAATAAAATAACAAACAATGTTCATTAAAGTTTAAAATAATTAATAGAATCAAATGATACATTATTGGAATTATATTTACGTTGGAATTCTATAAAAGGTTCTGGTGGTGTAGAAATATTTAAAGCATTATAAACTAATAAAAATATTAAAGTCTTAGATTTTTCATATAATTTACTTGGATGTGGAAATGTAATTGCTCCAACTTTAAAAGATTTCATAATTGAAAATAAAGTTATTTAACATTTAGATTTATCAGCTAATAGTTTCACTTAATCAGATTGTGCAATTATATCTGATGCTTTAAAATAGAATCACACAATTTATGGATTTCATTTTAGAGGAAATTTTGGATTTGTGGATTCAAAAGGATTTTTGATAATTGATTCTAGTATGAAAAATTTCAACTCAACTCATATTGAATAACGTATAAGAGGAGTTATGCCACATCCTAAACCTTATGATCATGCTTCAAGATTTGAGAAAGTAAAAGATGTTTGTTGGATATGTGATTGTTGGTAAATGGCTACTTTTAAATGGATTCCCAGTATGATATCATATTTATAAATAGATTAAAGTGGTGCTTGTTCTGATGAACCAATCTTCATTCATTTTGATTATGAAGGATATGAACCTATATTTTTAGGTAAACCTGATGAATAAGGTCATTTCAGTACTCATAGAATGATACCAACTGGAGAGATTGAATACTTTTATACTGCCAATGCTATATAAATTGCCAGTCAATCTGTACCTATAAAATAACATATTGAGAAATTCAGAACTAAAGTTAACATAGCTGATTAGGTTCTCAATCTCTTCATCATTAGGTTGTGAATGTATTAATTGATGAAACCAATTTCGAATTATATCCTAAATCAAAACCAGTTATTGAAGATTGGTATCCAAATTATGATGTTTTACCAAGAACATAAGATCCTATCTATATTCCTGCTAAAAGGAAAAAATAAAAAAGAATTTGGACTTATCCAATATCAATTTGGGCTCCTAAGTATAAATTTGACACAGAGGAATTATTAAGGAAATGTTTTGAAAGAGATTGGTCATGTTGCAAAATTTCTAAATTTGTTAAAAAATAAGAAGAACAAGATTAAGTTAAAGAACTCTTATGGTAAGCATATAAACCAATGAGAGAAACCTATAGATTTTATGCTTGTGTAAATCCAACAGGAGATGTATTTTCAATGTCTGTTAATCCAACATCTGATTTTGTAAATCAATGTTAATTAATTGATTAAAAATAATTAAAATTAGCTGATGTAGATCTTAAGTTTATTGCAACTTGTAGTGCATCTTCTATTGATTATAAGGGTAATTATAGAAATCCAGAAAGATCATTGGTTAGATACTAAATGATGGAATTCTTAGTTAGAGTTTCAGATGATAAATATATGAGATTTAATCCATAAATCAATATTGTTTAAGCTACTAAAATGATTTTAGATTAATGTATGCCACATATGTCTTAATTTGATTCTCATAAATGGAGAGCAGAAAGATATTTTATAGAATAATGTGATGATGTATGTAAAAAATATAAATGGGTTATTGATTATGTTTATATGAGAAATTCATCTAAAAAAGTTAAACCAGGTTAACCACCATTTATGTGTTTAGATGAACTTAAAGATATTTGCAATAAAGCTAATTTATATGATGAAAATTTTGTAGAAAGGGATGTAAATTTGGCATTCAATTTATCAATGTTGACATAAGTTGATGAATTAGAAAGTGATAGATTATTTTAAATGTAATGGATCGAGTTTATGGAAGCTATAGCAAGAATTGCAGAGAAATATTCACCAATTGCTATTGGAAAAAAAGAAGAAGTATAAAAATATTTGATAAAGTTAGAAAGAATGGACTTATGAGTTAAGATAACAGTAACCTCTATTTTACAAACTAGAAGCTTTCATGGTGCATTTAATTATTAACTTAGTTGATGAAGAAACCAAAAAGAATTGGAAATAACCAACAATTTCAATGTTTGATGAAATTGAAGAAGATGAATATTATTGAAATATGTAATATTAGTTTTATGTGCTTTTTTATAAACAATCAAATTATATCTACTTACAAGGATTCATTTAAAAACAAAAATATTATTATTATATAATATTTTGATTATATGAATATATATCTCATTTAAGATAAAATCTTTCAATTTAACAATTAAAATAAAGTAAATTTTAAATTATGATTCCTATAATTATCATAATTCATATTAAAATAATATCACTATCGCAGTATTATCATCTATGCCTTCGCTATGAACTTTCCAAGCAGCTAGAGCTTCTTATATAATTTTTAACAAGCTCCTTAAGGATCATCTTTCTAATAAAATGGATAAATTAATTCTGCAATCTTGATTATTTAAACTCATAATACTGTCTAATTATCCAAAAATTCCCAGATACCATCAGATCCTAATACAATAAATAAGTCTTCTTTATTCTCTATATTAATTAATTTTAATTCAGGTATTTAAGATACAATAGAAATCAACTTTTTTTCAAATATGATAAAATAGTTAACTATTTATTAGCCTAGGTCACCTAGACTTCTATACATTGCTAAACCAGGAAATTATGCTCCTTTATCCCATACTCTTGAAGGTCCAATAGGAGCTCCATTTGACAAATGATATGTATCTACTACACCTCCACATGATTCTAATCTTTATCTTTCACTTTCCAAATTTGGTTTATGATCTATTGATAATTCTATTATTGATAAATTTTAATTCCTTCTAACAAGTATGGCTCTACTATTCCCAAACCATCCACATTAAATAGTATGTTCTTTAACCAGTATTACAGTTAAAGTTGTACCTGAGAATTGACATCCAAATTCTGTTTATAATTTCATTTTTTAATGGATATCAAAGAATATCTTTAAAAAGTCAAAGACCTAATAAAACTTATTCAAATTAACTACATATTTATAAATTATGTAAATTTTAATTATTCTTTAACAAAAGTACTAACATATTGTCCATCCATACCATGACTATCCATATCTGCAAAAGCATAATTATTTCCATAAAATTATAAACAGAGTTCTCTATCTTAGTTGGTTTTCTCTGCAATGCCATCAAAGCCAGGTCGGGATTGACTAAAATAATTGATTTTTTATTTTTTGTTTTTATTATTACGAATGTAAATGTTTCTTCTTGTTGGCTTTTTATAGGAATTGATTGCATTTAAATTTGTTATTACTAATGTTATTATTTTGATTTTGTATCTATAATAATCCTACTTTTAACTAGGGGAGGTTTTTTAGTTAAATCAATTCTGGAAGTCGAATTTTCTATTTTGT